TATGTGTTTTTTTATGTTGAATAATACTGTATAAAAATGGCAAATAAGTAATAAACGAACCATAATAGATTTTTAATAACAATTTGGAGGGTGAATTGAAGTTATCAATTTACGATAACCCGTTTCACAGCTATAAAATATTATAGGTACTGACGAGTAAAGTATTTGCGAAATTTGGACTTTTCGCGCTTTATTTATTCGATACGATTTAAAGAATCTTTCTCTGGCATTTCCATTATAACTAGGCTATCTGCCATTCGATGTTTTGGAGATTAAAACGAACTCGACCAGAAATTCGGTTTCGCAAATACTAAAATATAATATCTTGTCGGGCATATTACTATTACTTTGCTCCTTAGCAAACGTCATCTGTCACAACTTGCAGTCATGTGGAACTCATTCAATGCAATCACTTCTTTATTCTTATAACAATAGGTACGTACATTCGTTCCGAGATGGGACGTAGAATAATAAAATTTTCCGTCACGATCTAGGATTTGCGCCAAATCGATATGAGCTGTATTTAGTGGTAATAGGAGCTAGAAAACAAAGTATTTGTTGTATGAAATGCAACAGTTCCGACCTTGCCGCCTCGTCGACACCCGCGCGCAATCGAGTTGACAGTGTCATAATGGATCGCAATTATCTGCCACCATACCCAGGTAGAGCTAATATTAAAATATTTTTTATAGTTGTTCTATATTCAATTTCATATAATTTAAACGCATTGTTCTAAGAAAATTTCGTATTTTGTCTTTAGGTGATATTTTCAATCAAGCAATAAGTACTTAATGCTGACGACTTTTGAAATTTCTGCATCCTGTAGAGTATTTCTCTTTCCAGCATTTCAATTTTCTCTCCATAAATATTAGAAGCCATTGACTTTCCGTTCTTGTAACACCTTATACAATTTATTGGCTTTCACCACTTATGTGTTGTGGGATCATGGATGTGTTGTGACTTGAACATATTTGCATCTTAATCATATACCTAACTTTCTTCTTGTTTGACACTCTAGTGTCTTAACTAATAGATTTATTATTCATTTTAATATATTTCGCTTGTTTTTATTTTTTTCCGAAGTGTTTTGATATAATATACCTAGCATATTAATGATGTTTAAAATTGTTTTTCCTCGAATGTGTTTTTCTTGTTGCAAATGTTTTCAGTAATGGCATTTATTCGGAGTTTGATGAATAATTTGTGGAAAAATCGAGCTAACTTTGAATAAATAAATTATTTATGTCTTTTTTTGTTTCTCTTTTATATCACGAGAAATTAATTCAAAATTTATTCGCGTTACGTCAGGCACACATTTATATTGAGTTTACCAGGGAAATGGTTAATGTTTTTTGTATTTTGTATTAATAAAACATTGAAATTATTGAAAATTTTCGAAATAACAAAAACCTTTTTATAAATTATAATATTTTGGAGGAAAAACATATTAAAATTAAACATGAAAGTTGTGTAACATTTTCAGAATTTATAGCAATCATAAATACAGACATTAATCGAACTAAACAAATTGTCACACTCGCAATTTAACGCTACTATTAAATTGATTTGTAGTTGATATTACGTTGTTAATATATAGTACTACTGCAAATACCATTATTGATATATGTTCATTCTTGAAATAATAACCATTTGGTTTACCGGTTGTCCATTTCCAATTCGCAAATTGCTTTCAACAGGAACGTAATGGGTCATTGAATTCGTTGTCACTACAAGTACCACACGAGTTAGAATACTGTTTTAGCTCACTTTTACTACAGTTGCTACAGTGTAGTGTTATGTTATATAGATTGATTCTTTAGACAATAGCTCTTGTTAAAGTTTTTCGTACTTACTAGCGCGCTCTTCGTATGAGACCATAGTAGGGATTCAGGCGGCGAGACGACGTCGGAACACAAATTGTCGTTCCTCCGGAACGCAAATTGTATGTTTCATCAAAATCGATCCTCAAAGACAATTGGGTACAATCGTTTAACTAATTATGAAAATTACATCCTGCACTTGACCGCTTTTGTGCTGTAAAACAATTGGTAAAATCTATAGGATATGGCAAAGTACTTCAAGGTGCATTGAAAGGTAGCCTGTTCACTTACTTTATTTTTAAATACAAGTAATTAGAGGTAGTTAATTAAAATGTTATTAATTATATAAAAGCTTTTAAATTTTTAAATTTGTTATAATTTTCTTAATTACTAGAACGTTAACCAGTTATTATAAAACGAGTATTCATTTTTAAAAGTGTTTTAAGAACGTCTTACACAAGTAAGACATGTATTAACATTTTGCAATCCACAAGTAGGTTCATAAAGCTATCGGTCGTTGCCTTCATCACTGAATTGTCGGATTATTGTGCTTCAAACACAAGTTCATGGACCCGACGATATTTAGTAGCTATTATAAACTCTATATGGAATGTGTATTGTCAACCGTCCTAATTTATGATCTTTTACGACGAACAGTAAAATATGTTTAGTTTCTCGTTATTTAGATTTCTATACGTTCTTTTTGACTTATTTCCAAAAAAGATTTTTGTTATAATTTCGAGTTTGTATCGATATCTCTGTTGAAAAACTCCAATAGAATCCACATAGAGACCAATAAATATTTATTGGTTTCTATGTGGTTTTTGTCGCTTTTGATGGGATCCTATTGGAGTCTTTAAATAGGGATATACTAACCTAACTATCAATACCCATACACTTTCAATATTTCAAGTGTATGCACACTATTATCCAATAAGCTTATTATATATTTACATATTTACAATCGTAGCAATTTCTTACTTACTTTAGCTGATTAAATTAAATAAATCCTGTCTTATAGCTTATGCATTGGCGACATGCACTGTTAATTTTATTTTTAAGTTTAATCCTCGTTACAAATCTCATTTATATCAAACTTCATCTCGAGGTGAATGTACTTGCATGTTAGTAACTTATTCGGTACGCTGCTAGCTTTTCTGTTTTGAGACATTAATATTTTTTAATTATTTTATTCTTAAGCTATACATATAATAAAATTGTAACGAAGTCGAATCTGTACATTAAATATTTTTTGGAAAATCTGATTGAAATAGACATTATTATCGATACAGAGGCCGAATCTATAGTTTTTAGAATTTTTGTCTGTCTGTCTGTCTGTTACCGCATCACAGGAAAATCACTGGAGGGATTTTGATGAAATTGAGTACGGTAATAGCTGATTATTCGGGTCAACATATAGGATACTTTTTACAGCGGGAAATTATCTCATTTTTGAGAAAAAATACAAAAACTGCATTTTAAGAGTATACTAATATGTAAAACCTAAGAATTTGGTTTTTGGTCATTTGAACGCGGTTCGGAGCCGCGGGCAATGCTAGTTATATATATACAGAAAAACTTGTAAAATATTACATCACACTTAAACAAACTTGTTTAAATTAGATTCTTCCGTTATAGGACTTCTGTTTTAACAAAATCAAGGTGCTTTTAAAAATACTTTGTTTATACGCAGCTGGCAGTACTGACACTATGTGGGTCGGTGCTGGCAATGCATGAGTTATGTGAGTTAGTGGGTTAATGTATGTCGATACAACTGTTGGTTTTGTGCCAGGACAACAGTGCTTTGGTATTAATGTTCTCGCATTAAAAAGTTGCCAATATAAGTTTTTATAGTTGTAGTTGTAAATTAGACTCATTGTCAGTATTATTGACATTTATTCTATCTCATCCATAAAATAGACAAAAAATCGTATGTGTGTACTTATGTACGCACGATAGAAATTATACTTCATTGACGAAACAGAACAAAAATAGCTAAAGATTTCATCCCGTATATCAAAACTCTCTATTTGTAAAAGTAATGCAGCTAACTTCATCATGTCGCTTTGTGGCTGTCGGTGTGCGCGCGCAAATTTACTCTTATATTTTTTTCCAAACGTGCCAAAAGAAGTATAACTTAAAAAAATAATGGATTTAATTAAATATGACTAATGAGCAAACAGTAAAATCCTCCAATACAAAGAACTAAAAGGCCTGAGGTGAGGCTAAAATAGCTCTAGACCCAAGTTGTTTTGAAATTTTAGATACTTTAAAGCATAATTTACCGCTTATATCTTAGTACTTTGAATTCCCCAGCCTCCGAACATCTCCATTTGCATCTAAGCAATGTATGGTCGGCTATTTCTGTACGGCCTTTGTGTGAAACTTGACGCCTTCAATGTTCGTATATGGGTTTCAATGGCTCTACATATTTATCAATGGCAAAATATTTGTATGTAAACCTATTTGTTCAAAGTGGCAAACGTATACTACACAAAAGTCGATTCTTGAATTCGTATTTAATTTATGGTTAATGTCTTTGTGATATTCAATTGGAACTGGTTTAGACGTTTCACGAACGCACTGCTTATCAAAAGGTCGATATTTACATAACTATCTACTGTGGAACAACTGAGCTAATGTGCCTATACGCAAAACGTTTTGCCTATTTACAATTTAAATAGAATATGTTATTTCCTTTATTAATATTTAACCGTAATAAATATCAGGACTTCTTTTCCTTAGTATAAAATATAAATGTATTAGACTATATGTCGAAATATAAAATACCAGACAAAAATGGGTGTCACTGGCGTTTTAGTAAGTTTTTTTGCAATGTTCCATGGAAATGACTTAGGTTTTTGACTACGTAATGGTTAGGGTAATAATTATTCTGAAGGAAAAACAAACCAAAATTACATTCCATATTTCGATATAGGCAATATTAATAAATAATAAGCATTAAGTGCTTAGATAGAACTTTATTATCTACAAGTGTAAGATTCAAAAATATCTGAAATTAAGAAAGGCTTCTTGGTACATACTAGATAGCTCAAAAATCATCATCTATATGCGTACCTAATCTATAAATATTATGAAGTGCATGTTCCCGGATATTTGAATATTTTTAACGAAAAGATTTTTACGTCATATATGGTAATAATATATTTTTGTCCACAGCTGTATCAGCAAGATGGTCAGCTCTAAGAGCAGCAGCAATACGTCGCGGCGGCGCTCGTCGCTTGCGTCGCGAGATCGCTGCCTTGAGAGAAAGTCTTGATGACATATGCGAGCCTGGCGACTGCGCCCCGCAGCCTCACACCCGGGCCCAATTACATAGACGAATTGAGGAGCTTAAGGTAAGAAATAGTTATATTTACCTATATAGTTTGCAGGTTAAAAAACGGTGAGTCGATTTTTGACCGATTTAAAGGGAGGAAATACCACTTTTCTGGACCGAAAAATACCATTTTAAGTGATTTTGTGGGTGGTATAAATACATTTATACTTACAAGATAATTCCAAAGAAATGGTTCGTGTAGTATAAATATGAAAACACCCACTGTCTGTGTATTTTCAGTTTTATATTTTGACTTTCAGTATAGCATCGTAGATTCAAGAATAGAATTCAATTTTATTTTTTGTTTTTTTTTTTGTTTGCAGGAACGTCTTTCGCGTCTGCTAGAATGCAAAGTGTCAATGCTAAAGCTGACGGTCTCCGTGCGACGCGCGCTCGGCGAGATGGAGTCAGATGACAGCGGGCTCACAACCGACCTGACAGCTTTGTTAGCCGCTTGGGACGATGCTCATCAACGGTAAGATAACAAATAGAATGTTAAAATGTGATTTACTTTACCATAATTCGGTTATCTATTTGTTAAGAACGCTCCCTCGTATTACTTAGCCATATTCCCAGACGCACTTAGCTATTTGCTAATATCCGATGAGAGCTCTAATACCATTTAATGAACATAATCTATGTCACTCTTAAGTCTATACAGTAATATCTTTGCAAGAAATCTTTGTGATTATTTGCATTTGGATGAAGCACAAACCAAAAATACACTTTATGAGCATGGTTATACAAGCCCGTACAATATTTTTTATAAGTAGGTTGTTTAAAATAATTACGTCAACAGCTGACTCGATAATTGATATGTTCCAGTTAAGAACTAGATATTATCACTGTTTTCTATACTTTTCATAAACTCGTACAAAACTAGATTGTTACTTAACTGTTGAATAATAAATTAAAAGCGAAAGTTCAGTTTGTTTTTGTTTTTATTTGTTACTAGCATTGCCCGCGGCTCCGCCCGCGTACAGATGACCAAAAACCAAATTCTTAGGTTTTACATATTAGTATACTCTTACATTGCAGTTTTTGTATTTTTTCTCAGAAATGAGATATCTTGACTATCAGATATGTTGACCATATAGCCAGCTATTACCATACCAAATTTCATCAAAATCCCTCCAGTGATTTTTCTGTGATGCGGTAACAGACAGACAGACGGACAAAAATTTTAAAAACTATAGATTCGGCCTCTGTATCGTAAATAATGTTTATTTTAATAAGATTTTCCAAAAAAATATTTAATGTACAGATTCGGCTTAGTTACAATTTTATTTTATGTATAGATTATTAAAATGTCGATTGTCTATATCAATCACAATAAAAGGCATGTTTATACCCTGTTACTTAAAAAAGGGGTTTATTTTATTCCGATTTTATAGCTTCCTGTAGGGTATATCAATAATCTTGCCAAATGAGAGAATCCTTTGTGTATTTATACAACACAGCCTTGATAATTAAAGGCATTATTAAGGTAATTTTATGTTTTCTTAAGACTGACGTCTGACTTTACTATTATTTAACCTACACATGAAGTTAATCCTTTCATAGGCTGACCTCAATCGCGCCGAAAGGCTTGAATATGGTGAACTATTTTTTAAGCTTATTTAATACATAGTGAACAGAAACATAATTATATTTTGTCCGACTTCAAAAATGAGGACGTAGTCATTGTGTGATGTTTTTTTTTTGTTTGTATGTCACACGCATCAACGAATTGTGGCTAATTCGTTCATGGTCACACGATATCTTCGCCAATTACAGATGGATTCTTCTAAATCTCTTTTTAATATAATTGATTCTGTTATTAATAAACCTCAAGGGAGGTCTTATATATCAGGTGGTCTTATATAAATATAAAATAAGTCCCACCTATAAGGATGGAATAATTACGTATACTTTAAAGTGAATTTGAGCTTTCTTCTAGAAACATAAATAAAAATACTTTATTACAGATAATTTGAACTGGCTACATATGCGTGGTTTCCTGATTCCATTCCCAAATTAATTTCAATTCGATTGATCATCTATATAAAATATACATTAATAGGTACATCTTCCACAGCACATCAAACGAGTTACTGTCATTAGAAAAGGCAGTGTCCGCGTGGGCGGAATGGGAGAGTGCATTGAGGGAGTTGCAAGGCGCATTACGCGGTGACCTCGCAACGCTCCAAGCGCTAAAAGACCGCGGGGCTGCTTTGGCGGACCACGCGGAACTGACAGCTCATGTCAGGCAGTTGGCTGCGTCTTTGATTGATAAAAAGAAGGTATGGTTTTATTCTAAGTTTTGAACTTTAGTCAAATTCGAGTGATATGTCGATAAAAATTAGCCTATTTGTTAATCAGAAATTTGCTGTTAAGCTATTTCGAATTTCACTTAATTCAGTTAAGCTTTTACCACATAAGTAGCTTACCATGGAACTAGATGGTGCTGTGTGTTAATGTCCCAACCAACCAACACATTTTTATTTCTCTATACTATACTAATATTATATAGAGGTAATGTTTGTGAGATTGTGACGTTGTAGGGGGTAATCTCTGGATCTACCGAACCGATTTAAGTGAAATTTGGTAAGAAGATAGATTGTGACCCCGGAAAGGACATAGGATTTTTATCCCGGATATTATCACTTAAGAGAGTGAAAATTGGGATGAAAGTTTGTATGGGGAATCAACCTAGGACGAACCCGAGCGAAGCAAAGGGGAGTCGCTACTCGCTAGTTTATTGATATATTTATTTATAACAAGTGCACCCCCAGGGCGGCTCGACCTGCGACTCGCTGTCGGACTCCGGCATCTCGGACGGCGACAGCGACGCGGCGGGCACGCGCGCGCGCCGCCTGTGCGCGCTGCGCGAGCTGGCGCGCCGCCTGCAGGCCGCGCTCGCGCCCAACTCGCCCGCGCACAGGGCTATTGCTAAGGTACGTGTCATGTTGCTTTAGAAATTACCGTCGAAACTTACTTTTCGAGCTGTAAAGTAATTAGATTATCAGTAGATCTAAGAATATAGTATTAGTAGTATCTTTAAGAGCTTGATAGTATTATCTTTAAGAGCGTGCACACGAGGATTTTCTGTGCGGAATGATCGCGTTTGTATCAACGTGTATGCAAGTAATCTGCATTTTTAAAGTTTGTTTGCACAAAATATGCTGGTGACGTGACGATGATGATGACGAACATATTATCATAATACAAGTCCCCTTACATAGCCCCTTAAAGTAACTTTTGTATATAATTTTTAACATGTTATTAGTTGTTTACGTTAATTTAAAAAGAAAGATCTAGGCTATTACATACCTAATAATACTTTCAATAGCATGGCCCGCGGCCCCGCCCGCGTTCAGATGATCAAAAATCAAATTCTTAGGTTTTACATATTAGTATACTCTTAAATTGCAGTTTTTGTATTTTTCCTCAGAAATGAGACATTTTCCCGCGGTAAAAAGTATCCTATAATATGTTGACCCGGATAACCAGCTATGACCATACCAAATTTCATCAAAATCCCTCTAGTAGTTTTTCTGTGATGCGGTAACAGACAGACAGACAGATAGACAAAAATTCTAAAAACTATAGATTCGGCCTCTGTATCGATAATAATGTCTATTTCAGTAAGATTTTCCAAAAAATATTTAATGTACAGATTCGACTTAGAATTTTATTATATGTATTGATAATAATTGTCTGTGCATCAAAACTTTAAAGAGAGAGGTCATAAGGATTAGTCTACTGCTTAACATACATATATGTATATGTATATTATGTTATATATTGCAATATTAATATCAAATAATATATAAAATAACAAGTTTTACTGGTGATGCAAGAGAAATATGTTATTATTATGTAATAGATTATATGTATATGAATTATTTCCATGTAGTTTAGAACTCGTAAGACTAGAAATTTGATGAGGTAACACTAACGACCTCTCTGTCATATAATGTATTTCTATATTATTTTCTGATGACATATGACGGTGTAATGCAAATAAAATAACAGATAAGTGAGATATAAACAATTTTAAATAAATGTATTTTTTTTACAGCGCATGGAACAAACTGAGAACGAAGTGAAATGTTTACAAGAATCTTGCCGGGCTTTAGTCGAGCAAAACATCCCAGACCTGAAAATTGATGAAGTCTCGTAAGTAAAAACAGTTGATTATGTAATATAGCTATTATTTTTATTTTTTTTAATTCATTAATATTATAATGCTATTATAATATCTTTATCTTTTCTAGACGCGATCACGTTATCGCCGTGTCAAATAATAACACGGGCGCAGGCGATCCGGACTACAATCCTCGTAGTAGTTGGGTATGGCGCGTACTTCGATCCTCAATTCCCATACAATTATGCCTCGTGGCGATACTTCTAGCAGCTTGGTTGGTGGAACGACCGAGATGTTGCGACGCCCTCAACTCACTCGCGCAAACCTTGACACCGCAGTTACGTTACGTTCGTGGACCTCCGCCAGTGTGAAAACACCCTTATTTATAGAATCATGTGTCACACACGTGGTTCTATAGAATAAAATTGGCGGGAAACTGACAACTGTCAAATTCAAAGTGACATCTGTCAATTTAAATTTGCTACAATTATTGTTATGGATGCGATCTAAATAATCTCGTTTGAAGATTGCTCGTAGCGTTTTAATACGATACTTTTTACTTGGATCAAGACTAGTTGCAATAACTATTTAGCTGTATTTAAGCTATTTTTGTGAGGAAACTTCGGTTTATTGGTGAGAAAATTGGCGTTTACTAAACCAGTATTGCCACTTTTAACAATAAGTAATTCTACTTATTTTACTACGTTATACTATGGAGAATAATATTTTTTATATGTTTGCGGAAGGAGTAAGAGTCATAAGGGAAGATATTAATTTTTATTTTAAAATATGTTTCCGACTTTCCGAACGCAGGCTTTTAAAGAATTTTGATTTTATGATGATCGGAGGGGAAAGGGGATAGAAAGAAATGGGTTTTGTTATAATAATAAATATAGCATTTAGCTATAAATTATTTGAGAGAGTGTAACTAAAATGTTATTTTTAAGGTTGTGACATCTATAACGTCGAATATTAGTGTTGTGCTAAATATTATTTTATCGATACGATATACTTTTTTATTTGTGGGTTGGACTTTGTGTTTTTGGTAGATGGTTTTTGATAAGTCAAATATGGTCAGTGACACTTAGCTAACTGCTGTGTCGAAAGCGAAGATATATCATGGTATCCTTAAATAACGAAAAAAATAATAAAAAAAATTAGTAACGGATTTATGTAAGTTTCAGAAATAGAACTCTGACATATTTTACTCTCTATAGAGTTAAGTACTATAGATATCTGCATTTTATTAGGACCAGACTTAATAATAGAATGGATTGCTCATAGCAAGAGTTCAAATTAAAGAAAATCCAAAAACATAATCATCTGTATCAGATGAAGTTCAAATTAGCTGTTTTAGTAATAATTTACTAACAAATTGACATACTTAAATAAGTTTGTACGTAAGTATACTATTTTAGTACAAGTAATGGATATGCTTATTTTAGTTAGCGAGTGAGTGTTGAGTGCACTAAGAGTGACAGATTTCCCAAGTACCTATATATTTCTTAAGGTAAAATGTTTCTTCTTGAATAATTAAAAAATACTGCCAACACTATGATTAAATATAATAAAACAATCTTTTATATATTTATGTATATTTGCATATGAATCTACTGAAAATATTTATGAACACAGATGCTACTTGATTATATTATTATATTTTGCTTCATATGATAAATAATTATATATTATAATGTTAATCAATCAATATATTTATAATTAATAAATCAATGATGTTTAAAAATGATCTACATATACTTAATATGTCCATGCCAATATGTAGTATTTTGTGGCCTTATCCTCATATATATCATAATATGTTAAGACTGATAAAATGATGAAACTTTGACATAACTTTTATATTTATTTATATAATCTTCTTAAATCTTTTTGAATATTTTATTTATATCATTTGATATGATTCTTTATTATGACAATTTTCTTTAAACTCACTATATTGGTGGAGCAACACGTTTTGTTTCCATAACATAACCAGTGAGTTTGAGTAGAAATAATTGAATTGTTCAACAAGTAGTGTTGTTCCGCGCAATATATGCGAAAATTATGTTTATACATTATAATGCTAAAATATTTTTTTATTAAGCAGCAGTTTAAAAGGATAATTATGTCCACAGGAACTGGTATTGTTTTTGTTAAATTATATTATCAATTATTGACATTTCTGGATATATTTCATTTAAAAGTGCATGTTATGTAAATGGTCTGTATTAGGTTGTCTTCTCTAACATGAGTGTTGCATGTTTACGGTAAAATTAATGTATAAAATATTTTTTATTATTAATATCTAGTACTATTAGTATATAGCTAATATTTTAGAATTAATTTTGCCGTGTTTATTGAATATAATGTGTAGCAACATTTATAAAACATATTCCCGCCAAATAAATAATATTCAAACAAGTTTACACTTAAATGTAATTTAATTAAGTCAATTTAAAACATATTTTTCAATTATAATTGAATTGTTAGATGAAAAATAATTAGGAAATAATTTTACATGTTTTGGAATACAAAATTAAAGTTAAATACCTATTATTACACACTTTAAATTGGGAACTGTGTTGCCTACTATCATATTTCTGGGAAATAAAATTCAGAATTCATACTGTACTACTGGTTTTTTGCTATATAGAAAGCAATGTTTAGAAATATTAAATATTATTTCTTGATAAAATGTAAGACAAGCATGTGTCTTCATCGTGTCATATTCCTTATAACTTTTTAATTTTAAATAGGTGTATGAGCGAGATGTGCTGTTTGCATTTAAATTTTGGTTATAAAGGAAGGGAGCATAATATAGGTTGCATAACATCATGTTGGCTTTATGAATTGGAAATAAAAAAAATGTTTTTATTTTTGTGTTTTATTTTCTTTCATTACCTCTTACAACACTTTCAGTTGTTGGTTACAGCAAAAACACTTGATTCTGATATTTACTTTTAGCGCTGTTATTATTCAAAGATAATTCTTTCCCGTGGAAAATTAATAAATATAAATATTGGATAAGTAAAACAAGACAAAATGTCTATATAATGAAATGGCTTGTAGCGCCATCTAGCCAGCTCATCACGACTATCTTGAAAAACAAATTAATAAACAATTCGATCTAACATCGGCTTCGTCTTTCCTTTAAATAAAATTATATTCTATTTTGAAGAAAATAAAATTACTTGAGTTGACATAGAACATAAATAAATTTATTTATATAGTCATAATTCACATGTCTTTCATTTTTAAATATGTCTTTGTATATTTTTTTAGCCGGAACGAACAGACACACAAGAGACACAAAAAAATATATATTTAACATAAAAATTAAAAACCCGACTGCATAAAAGCTAACTGCATAAAAACTATAAAGATGAAAACAAGTTCACGAAGGAACATATTATGCAGTCGTAGACATATTACACGTTTCATCCTCGCCGCGAGATGTACATCGTCTGTATGTATCCGACTGCATGTTTCATCGTGAGCTTGTTTTCATCTTTATAGTTAGCTTTTATACAGTTAGGGTTTTTTATTTTTATAATATATTTATTTATTTACATCTTTTTAAGTATTTTTAAATAGAAAAATTATCCTAATCTGTTATTTAAAATGAAAAATGATGAAAGAAACCTAAAAATGATTTTTAAATACCTATTCATCGATACCCCACTTGACATAGTTCGTCGATTTTCATTTTTTTTCTTTTTCACATTATGGAATCTAGCAGCCCCCATATTTATTTATTTTTTATGTCACCTATCTAAGAACCCTTGGTCTAATAAGACGAATCTAACGATACCTTAATATAATTAGTAAGAATATTACAAATAAACATACAGATAGGCGCGAAAAACATAACCTAACATCCTTGCGGTCGGGTAAAAATTGTCTTTTATTCGTACGTAGTAGAATTTAATAAAAAGTTTTTATTTCCATTCCAGGCATATTCCAGGCACTTCAATTTTATTTATCTGTATAGGTTTGGTTTGGATAAACGCAGCACAATTTTTTGTTCAATAAAATCGTTTATTCTCATTGACGATAGAGAGCGCCTAATGCGACTAGTATTAAGCACCCTTTCTCGTCTAGTTAGGTCAAACAAAATAAACTAAAGAGTTATAAGTAACGATAGCAATTTCCTGGGAAGAAAGAATTTCTATGATGTATGATAAATATAGCGCACCATAAATGTTAATAAAACAGGTTAAATCTGCATATTACAAACGTCTAAATTAGATTATAAATCGAATCGCCTCATTAGGAAAAAAATGTTTAACTAATTGGTATATTGTGTCGATTTGTTATCTATGTTTAATTAAATGCAAAATTAATTTGCTTTATTTTAAATACTTTAGTAAATAAAAATATAATAATAAACGATAATTCAACAGATAGCTGATCAACGCCATCTATCGACCATTCAGAAACGATAAATTATTACTCTAAGAAGGACAAATCTTTGTATGGGCGTCAATGAATTAAAACTAAACGTGATTATTTTGTCTGACAAATGATATATAATACTATATTATTTCCTCAAATGATATTCTATAAATATATGATCGTAATGCCTTTAATTTATCATTCCTTTTACAAACAGAGAGTTGTGACATACGGGTTGAAATCTTTAGCTGTTTTTGTTCTCTTACGCCAAAGAAGTATATATTCTCACGTGCGTACAAAAGTAACACGTTTTTTTTTTTAATATCCTTCTTTTCTATTTATTGATGTATTGCTGCTATTGCATTCTAAGGAGATCATAGTTTGTTACACCTTTATTTGATATCCAACTTATTTTCAGACCAACAGAATCGGGAAGATTTCTCGAAACAAGGGCGTCACACGTATGGCCTATTTACATTCAGTCTGAGGTTAAACAATTTTTTTGTACCTGGTTTTTTGCTTCAATTGTGTTCGTATCTTACCGGTGCAATGTATTGTACCTGGAAGTTAGACCAGTTGAAGAAAGAATTGAGAAGGAGAGGTGCATCCTGTGATGGTCCTGACTGACTGACTGATAGATCAACACACAGCATAAACCGCTGGTCGTAGAAACATGAAATTTGAAGGATATATTCCTTATATGATATAGGCATTTGATAAAAAATAAGTTTCTTCGAAATTCTTCCACTAAGTGGGTAAAATAGGCGATTAAAGATTGTATGAAGCTTGGTCATTCTTAATGTGAAATACGCAGAAAATAGTGTTCAACTTCAGGATAAAAAAATAAGAAATATATTTTTTTTTTACGAAATTCATTCCTTAAAGGGGCAAAAGAAGGTAATAAAGTTTGTATGAGCAAAGAATTATTTATGATCAGAATGACATATGTAAAAAAGTACAAAAAAAATCATCTGTAGACGATTAAAGAGTTTTAAAATCACTTTCTTTAAAATGATGTCCACATAGCCTTAAATATGAACATTGTGATTTCGCCAATTTTGGTCATATATTATTGTTTTAGTCCACAAATTCTTCAGTTTTAGTCTTTTGAGAATAAATTATATCCATTTTCTTCGCATCCTGGCACTATACAATTTGTCATTTTAATTAAATTATAACTAAAATGGAAAAAATAATCCATCCACGCTATAGCCTTACAATATACTGAAGGCTATAGTGGTCGCGACATCTGGCGGAAGAGAAAGAATTGTTCCCCATTGAAAGTTAAATGTTATTGTAGTGTAATATAGCTGTTTAGCTACTGACCATTTTACCGTACTACCGTAGCTTATGTAAAATATACATGCATTTTATAATAATTATAAACAATATATAACAATATTATATGAAATAATAGTACATAGGAGCCTAAGAACAGGCTACCAACCTAAACGAGTCAACTCAAACATAATGAAAACTTAAATTATAAACGTCATATCCTTATCCGCTTAATTTGCAGCTTGCTGAGATTCTGCATGTGTGCCGTATTAGTTTCAAAGTTATTATTTATTTTACGTGATAATTAGTAAATAATAAATAGAATAAGAGTTTTTGGTATACAATCCCACACTTTGTTTATTAAGGTAAGGGTTATAATAAATACAAGTTATATTTTGACTAATGATGTCGAGATATTAAGCAAGCGTCGCCATATTGTACACCACAAGAACAAGTTATCATTCGATTACCGACGTCGCTTGAGGACTTTTAAAAATTCTGTTAAAATATAATTTATCGATGTTTGTGTAAATCCGTGTTCTCATAAATTTATTTTCAATGCAGTAAGTAAATAAGCAGTAACCAAGTGCCTTAGCGTGCGTTTATGTTGCTTGCCGCGTGGTGCCGACTATCCGGTGCCGCCATTTCATTTTATTACGTTATGCCCAAAATATATAGAACAAATACTGAAAAGATAACAATTTTATTAATATTCAATGCAGTATGAAAGTAATTATGAATATAACACCTTTCTATTTATATTTTAGTGATCAATTTAACGGTTAGATTGTATTTGCGTCACATACATCGTATCTAAAACCTTTCTAAAAACGTGCTTTATAGAATAACTTTCTCGAATTACATAACGTATTATTAAAATTTTAAGTAAAACTAATCTATGAATACATATTTTTCTGTGGATCATAAATTAATCAGAGCCCAATCGCGTGAAATGTTTGGTTATATTTAACATATGTATGAAGCGTATGGTTGGGAAAAATATGATTTCGTTATTAATTCATTAACATATATGTGCCTATTATTTATATTTTTTTGTATTTATTTACAGGCGTGGTGAAAAGAAAATGGTAGGTTCCCGCGTGTACGTGGGCGGGCTTCCCTTCGGTGTAAGGGAAAGGGATCTTGAAAAATTTTTCAAAGGGTTCGGAAGGATCAGAGACATACTTATTAAAAATGGATATGGGTTTGTGGTAAGAAATTTAACTTAACATTGATTTGCTTAAAGTCTTAACAGATTGAATATTTTGTTATGTAGAATGTGACTACGGTTCACTGTTTCTTATATGTCTACATAGGATGTATTGAAATCAAATCATACAAATAATGTTGTTTAAATTATTTTTATTAATAGTTATCCAATTATTATTGTGAATGATTGAGTAATTATTTTTATTTTTAGGAATTTGAAGATTACCGAGATGCAGATGATGCTGTATATGAATTAAATGGAAAAGAGCTGCTTGGTGAAAGGTAAGTAATTTTTCATAAAAAAGTATATTAATTATTATTGTTAGAACCTTAAACTTCAAGTCTTAAGTCAGATTTTATTAAATAATTAACTTATATTTAAATGTAACAGAACTAAATATTTATTAAGTTCAAGTAAATTTTTTAGTTAAATTAATAATTTTCTTTATCAGCCGGCTCCACATTTTGCAAGAATTTGTATGGAGAACTGATATTTGTTAATTTTTGTAAGTCTTGTTGTAAATGGAGATTTTGAATGAAATGAAAGGATGCAAGAATGGTATTTATTATTTATATTTTTACCATTATGTTCTTTTTGTTTTATTTTTAAAATTTCTTCTTTATTTTTTTTTAAAAGGTGGCTTATAAATAAAATGTATGAGATGAGAGCTATGGAGCATTAGGCAGAATTGTGTGGTACAATTACAACAACCAAAAGATAGTATATTGTATAAAGTTATCATTGGAAGTGATTATTACTCAATATTGTCTTTTTAATGAATTGTTAAATTAATAAATTTGTTTAAGTAACTTTAAAAAAAGTATTGCTAACATAATATTTTAAAAAACTACTGACTCACTCTCTCTTGCCTTGGGTTCATCTTACGGGTATGCCTTAACGGTTAGTATGGAATAGATAGATCTAATGCAAAAATAATTTTAGTATAGATGGTTATTGAAATTACATAAATCATTCCTCTGTTAATTACATTAACTTACTGTATAATAAAAATCATTTTAGCAATCTTAATATGGCAAATGTTGACATTATTACCAAATTGAAATCAAACCCAATAGTTTTTGGTAAGTTTGCTGTTTTTTTTAAATAAAAAGGTTCATATCTGCTTGTTTTAATAAAATATTTTCTTTAAATTGAATTGTGATGTGATATGCTTTATTATCATATCAAGTAATTTACTTATTATTGTAATTAATTTAATAGTTCCAGCTTGTCTTGATAATTACTTGATCAATTAAGGAATAACTAGTGACTCATCCTTGCTTCACTCGGGTTCGTCCCTGGCTTGCTTCCCAATACAAACTTTCATTCCCATTTTCACCCCTTTAAAGTGTGACTTCCGGTATAAAAATGTGTGTCCTATGTCCTTCCCAGGATCTCGAACTATCTTCTTACCAAATTTCATGTAAATCAGTTCTGTAGATTCAGAGATTATCCCCTACAACGTCACAAACTTACAAACTTTACCTCTTTATAATATTAGTACATATACAAGTATCAAAGGTGGTAGGTGTCGGTTGCACATGTATGCAAATGTCGTAATGGTACCACACACGGCGCGCGAGATGGCATACAAAGACAGATGTTGTGGTAAAGGCGGACGTGTGCTGCAGGGTGGTGGTGGAGCCGGCGAGGGGCATCGACCGCAGCGCGGACCGCTACCGTCGCGACCGCTACTACGAGCGTGACCGCGGCCGGTCGCGATACGAGTGAGTGTTGTTTGTAGGGTGTCGGTGGAGCGCGCGCGCGGCGTGCCCCGCGGCTCGGACCGCTGGCGCGCGCGCGAGCCCGCGCCGGCGCCGCGCCCGCGGCCCCGCGCGACCCCCCGGCAGCAGGCGTCTGTATACACACTCCCCCCAACACCCCCCACACACCAACACAGCATATACTATATATGTGTCTCATACGTCAGCGTTTCTCAAAGTGTACAGAGATGTAAATATGTCTAGGGGGTTTCCAGTAAGTAGGTATAGGTTTAATAATTTTAATGATGTAAAAATACTATATAAAGTGAACCCCTGCAGAGACGAGGTTTCCATTTTAATTGTATGGGCTATTAATTTGAGAAACCCTGATATATTATGATATATGAAAATCTCAGCAATGTTATATCTCTTGCTAAACATTAATAAACCCTTAAACCTCATGATATTTAGTTAATATTTAACTAATTAGATATTAAATAAATCCTGTATTATTTTTTTGCTAGTTTTTTGTTAATTTATCAACTTGTACAATAATCTACATTAAACAAATATTAGTTTACTTTTATAATGCGTTTAGATATTGGAAGAGACATAAGTAATTGAATGAAAAACAATATAAACTCAAACTATCTTATCAATTAAGATTGAAGATGAGATTTTGTTTTAATAGAACGCAGTGATGCGTTCTAAAAATTTGAATGTTTTCATACTTGTTAGTGAATAAATATTCAGTATAAAAAACCTCTGTATGATGTTTTAGATAATATATAGAGATACAAGATTTAATACGAAAAGTATTTAGCGTTTTTTTTTGAGGGAAATAAATTTTAAAATATATTATTTTACATAATTTATGTATATCATAAACATAATTTTATAAGTGTTAAATTGATAAGAACACTCGATTATATCTTTGTTTTAATTTTATATTATATCTCTTATCAGCAAGTAGTCAATGCCACTGTGTAATATAGTTAACCTTAAACTAAAATTTCGCAATGTAATTGCTAAAAAAGTTGGCCTTCAGCGTTGATAAAATATATATTATAGTGATAATTGATAAAAAGCCACGACGTACTTATTACACATCAGTCGGAAGGAAATATTTTATTTTCAATGTAAAGGCATTTTTTCAACATCTACAGATTTGATGTTCATAGAAACTTTCATGTACATAGTTTCATTATTTATTTGCCATAATATATAACAAGATTGTCTACTTTTCCGTTTTAAATATTTTCAAATGAATAGTATAAAAGTCCCACATAAAGTTCAAGAAAAAATTCCACCCATGAGCATGGAACAATACTAATGATCCTTTACATTTAAAATGTAATTATACAGGAGTAAAGTTTATAACGCTAGTTAGGTTAGTATTCCCACTAAAATAAAATAAAAAAAAGAAACAAAGTTAATGTATACACTTTTTCGTTTGCAGTGACTACAATTATAGATACGGGCCGCCGACGCGCACGGAGTATCGACTAATCGTCGAAAATCTGTCTAGCCGCATTAGCTGGCAGGTAAGGCACTGAGGGGGCTGATCATCATCATCCATCACGATCACTCAGGGTGGACCTTTGGCGCAGGGCTGGGCACTAGGCTAGGACGAGACTGTACCCCACGGACACACACACTTGGCTACGGCGGAAGGGCTAAACCAACTCGTACCGAGGAGAGGACCAAGGGCTAAAGGACTGAACAAATACCAAAACGATACCAGAAGGCCGGACGATTACGGATACAACCGGAGGCTATGGATCTGAGGTGCGTTGAGAAGACCTTCCAAACATATGAGACAGAAGACTAGAATACCACATGAGCCCGGACCGGACGACGACGTTTGCTTTAACTCAAAATAAATTCTAAGTAGCTTTCATGTTTTGTAACTTTAATTTTAATATATAAAAATTGTAAAGTAAAATTTACATTACATTGCGAGCTTATAGTTTTTTAAATAACGACAGAAGGTGGCGTTTCGTGCCCAGAGCCCTTGCCGATGTAGCGCGTGTGTGTGAGGCGATGTTAGGAGCCAGCCAGCCGTCGCGCCGCCGCCCTGCAGGTAAAGTCGGGGCACAGGAGCCGGTCGCTACACGCGATCGCATTTTAAATTCATTCATTTTATATTATTTCAACAACTCGAGGCTAATGTGGCGTTTATTTTATTTTCCTATATAATTTCTTACTACGTGCCTACACAGTTTTTCGTGATCGGTGCTGCCTATAAGGTATCATTGCTTACTGGATCGAGATGAGCTTTCCAGGACTGGTTCTGAGGGCAGCATTGATTGGAGTTGCTTGGTTTTTACCTTGTTGGGTTCCTTGCGTTCGGATGTTAGAGGTTCAGGATGAGGGTCGAATTTGGTCTTTTGATTCCATTGAACTATGAGGTCGGATCTGGACAAGTGGATCACGTTCTAGCAGATGTGAGAGAGTGGACACCATTCAATTATCAACAACAATGAAAAGATGGCTTAGATATGGATCGTCTCACTGATGAACGATATTGAAGGAAGGTCAACCTACTCATACTGGAAGATGATGCGTAAAAACGACTTGAGGGCCAATATTGGAGAATGGAGCATTTTGGTTATGGACTAGAACAGATAGAGGCAAATCCTAGACAAATATTTCCTAGAGGACCATTGACTGAAAATGCAAATGCAAAATTTGGAGAATCTGATCCAGATCGATCCAGGCGCTTAAGACCAAAGCAATGAAGACAGGACAATACCTAAACAAAAAAATGAATCACAGGATGGATCGCTACAACCTGAAACGAATTGCCCTCGATTGGATCAATGAGCCGAGACTTTGTGGAAAAGATGTCGCTAAACCCCATAGCCGTCCCATTGTGACCATTTTCCAAAGTAATGAATGATAACCAGTCGGTTGACCGTTTACGAAATATCTGTATAGGCACGGTCATGGTTTTTTTTTTGGTTCCAAAGGTCTTTTTCATTCAGACACATCATAAGCTGTTAGGGAAATCATCATCTATCCTACAAACTTCATTCTATATGATGATATCGTTTTTTTACCATCTTTCGGGGCTGAATGTCTTGATGATAATTTATTATCTGATGAAGTTTGTAGGAAAGGCTTTATGTGTTGCTGAAAACTATATATTAATATATTTTTCAACTTGCAGGATTTGAAGGATTACATGCGTCAAGCCGGTGAAGTAACTTACGCCGATGCTCACAAACAGCATAGAAATGAAGGGTGAGTATTAAGATTTTGATTTACGTATTCAATATATATTTTAGAAAAATTAAAATACAAAACTACTAAGTATAAACCAAGCAGTAAACTAAATAAGGTCAAAAATTGGTGTCCTATTCCTCAATATTGATGTGTTATTCTAGACGAAATTTCCCTAATTCTTCGAGCCGTCAACGTGAAGAAGTAATAAACATTCGCACACAATATCTTCCGCATTTATATTTATTAGTAGTCCAATTTAATCTCAAAATGTAAACAAATATTAGGGTGGCCCAAAAAAAGAAGAGAGAAAAATTATTAAAAAAAAACTATCTTAAACCTCCTCCCTAGTAAATATTTAACATTTCCTTATTTAATCGCCAACAGTGTGGTGGAATTCGCAACACACTCTGACATGCGCGCCGCCATGGAAAAGTTGGACGGCACTGAGCTGAACGGTCGCAGGATCCGCCTGGTGGAGGACCGTCGGTCTTCACGTCGTCGCACGCGCTCCTCGTCAAGCCGATCACGCTCTCGCAGCCGGGAAAGACGTCGGTCCAGGTTAGAATGCTTGTATTTATGCCTTAAAAAGTCAATTTAAATATGTGGCTTAATTATTCTTAAAGGGATGTAGGTGAAACCACTTAGTTTAATTAATTATTGTTATTAATGTTATAAAGTAGGAATGAAAAACTGTTTATTTGTTCATCCTTCATTAAGTAGACTTGGGTTTATTGCGACAGAGACGAATGACGAATGACGAAATGAGACGAATAGTCTTGCGAAAAGCCACTAAGGCGAGAAATGTTTCCATAATAATTTGACTTTTTGTTTTGTCTCTGTTATTTAGGTTGGTTTGCAATTGAAACCCAATAAGCGTATTTATAACTTAAAATAATAATAATGAGAGAAGAATATTAGGCTTTTTATGATGATACTATATTTTTACCATCTTTCGGGGCTGAATACCTGTGAATGATAACACTTACACTGAGATTACAATAATTTAATTTTCTTACATCTGTACATTTGATATTTTTATAAACGCCAAGTATATATATGCAGCAGGTCCCGCTCTCGCCGCTCATCCCGCTCTCGTTCCAAATCGCGTCCGAAAAGCAAGAGTCCCGCTGCCAAGTCCCGATCGAGGTCCCGATCAAAGTGAGTTGACTTTATATTATATACAGGCCTTGGAACTGACATATCAATGTTGTATTATACATTAGTTGCTCACTCAGCATCAGTATTGTAAATACAGTCACTTAGGTGTCTGTTCAGCAAACATCACTTTTTATTACTCTCTCAAATATTTTTAAAATCTTTGCTTGCATGTAATAATTTAAAATACTATTATTCGCAAATTAAATGTCCCTATTAAAAATTGCATGAATTTGTATGAAATTAACCTAGTGTTCATTTGGCTAGGTGTGTTATTTCATGCGCTGAGCAAAACTTGAAATCGTAAGTATATATATAGCTCTAGTACGATCATATTTATGTACATATTAGTGTTGTACGTAGCATAGTTACAAATGAACAGGCATCTTGTATGTACATTTGTAACTTTTCTAAATATAATATTGTACTTTGGATTTGCCACCATTTTGAACTATTAGTATTTGTGATATATAGCTATGTATGTTCATAATAATGTTGACAAATCAAAAGTATTATTATGGATGTGTAGAATGTAGCTAATCTAAATATCCGTTACTATCGTTTGTCGCTCGCGACTCACATAGGGATCGCAGTCGTTCGAGATCCGCCAGATCAGCGTCCCGTAAGTCCGAGCGCCGCTCCGAGTCCCGCCAGTCCCGCGAGGGCTCCGAACCCCGGAAATCCCCGGACCGTAATGGCCGCCATTCCGCCTCGCGCTCCAAGTCACGCTCGCCGAAACACGATTCTAAGTAAGTTTGTGCTTTCAATCCCGTCTGACGATTGTGCCGCCTTATGAGGTTATATTTCAGCAATTTTAGTGACATGGTCATACATTACATACTATTATGTTATTATAGTTTTGATTGGGAATTTGTTTGTTTATATGTTTAAGGTGTTTTCTTTGGTCGCCTGAATTATAACCTCATATCAATCGTAGGCATGATTGTCAGATCGTACTGAAGCAATATTGGCATTTTTCAATAATTAAATTCCATACTTGTAACTTATTGATGGCACAATTTGTTCATTTATTAACTCTTACCATATTTTCCCGCATCATTTGAAGAGAGGCCGCCGACAGGGCCAGGTGAGAGTGTTGATGTTTAGCGCAGTAGTGGCACATCTCTCGTTCTGTTGCTTATTTGATAGCTTTTGAAGTTTATTTCGAGCTGTTTACCTTATTTTTTATTATTTTTACCCCCCTGCTTATAATTCCTGTTTCGGTTCCTCATAAATGTACTTAATTATATAATTGGATTGACATAATTTAAACAAGTGATTTTTTTAGATATTATTTATTAGATATATTGAAAATGTTTTTGCATATTTGAAACATATTTGTACTGAGTGTTTATTTCTTATTTTTTTTATTTTGCGTGTCTCTTTTTTAGTTTTTACTCATTATTTACTCAGGGAAAGGTCTCGTTCTCGCAGCAAGGACGCGGGGTCGCCCAAACGTGAAGAAGAGCGTCGGGAGCGCGAGAGCAAATCTCGATCCCGGTCACGATCCCGGTCTGGATCCCGCGAGCGGTCCGTATCCCGGGACCGCTCCCGATCAGCGTCCCCGCGGCAAAATGGCGACACTCAGGACCGCGCTAGCACTGACCGCTCCCCACGCAGTGGTGAATAGAGTTGATATATGGCGACGCTACATGGACGGCGGCATGCAATTTTTATTGATACTACAGTTTGTTATAAATAGAGCATGGGTTGCAATGTTTTGATTTTTATACGGTACAGAAAATGCATTTGAAGTTTTGTGTTACACTCCGTGTAGCTAGCCGAAGACTTAAAAATATTTTATTTTATAGATTCTAACGTATAGTCTGTATGATCTCGTGACACATTCATCGAGGTTACCCTTCGACGGGTCTCGTTGTAAATTCTTACGCGTATTTTTCGCGATTACTTTTCAGTTTTCGTAGAAAGGTCACGTTAAGATGTTGAAATGTCATTGTGGGCTAGTGAATGTTTGTATGTGTTGAATAGGAGGGTATGTGTACACGATGAGCGTAATGCTACACAGGTTTTCACTTTGAAAATTGGTAATGATTTTTTTATTATATATTTTTTTAAATATCTATGTGCAATTTTCTATATTGAATCTTAAATTTCGCAGTTTTAGAACATGAAGTATTTTGTTAAAATTTTTACATGTTCTTGTAAATTGGAAAGCTGTAAAGAAAATGGTACATTTACCTCGTAGGTAATTTAAATAAATTTTCATTGACACCCTATTCAAATAGGTTAAGGTATTTTGTAAATACATCGTTTGTAAGGCACCAAATAATAAATAATTAAGAATTTATTTGTTGTTTCATTTTACCCTTTATTATTATTTTTATAGTTTTTTTTGACATTCGAATTAATTCTTTTTGATTGGTTCTACTTGGATGCTACGTTGGAACAATATAGGAGGCTTTTGCACGCTACTTATTGCATCTTGTAGGATATTATTCTGTTACTAGCATTGCCCGCGGCTCCGCCCGCGTTCAGATGATCAAAAACCAAATTCTTAGGTTTTACGTATTAGTATACTCTTACATTGCAGTTTTTGTATTTTTTTCTTAAAAATGAGATATTTTCCCGCGGTAAAAAATATCCTATAGGTATGTTAATCCGGATAACTAGCTATCATCATGCCACATCATAATCCCTCCAGTGGTTTTTCTGTGATGCGGTAACAGACAAAATGATTTCAATGAGATTTTCCAAAAAATATTTAATGTTCAGATTCGGCTTAGTTACAATTTTATTATATGTATAGTTAAAGTATAATTTTTATTCAATTCTTCTCAAAAGTTTTTATTTAACCTCATACCTATATAAAATTACCATATTCTTTATAGAAAATCGACAATATTAGCATATACAGCAAATTACGCTAGGTACTATTTTATTGGCGGGCTCTGTGTATAATATGTATTATAATCTTTTAGTCTGAGGTTTCGATTAAAAAATTATTTTGAAAACTACGACAGCAAAGTCAAATGCTGGAAGGACCTAAAAATGAATACCTATATTAAGTGTAAAGCGAAAATTAATATTATAAAGACGCAGTTTGCTTATTTGTTTGAACGCGCTAATCTCAGGAAGTAGGAACTGCTCGTCCGAATTGAAAAAATCTTATGCATTAGATAATCTGTTTATTGAGGAAGGTTGTAGGCTATATAATTATCATTTTGAAAAAATGTACAGTTCACGTGGAATAGATTGTTTTCGTCTAAGGACGAAACCGAAGCGAGGGTGAATTGCTAGTTATATAATTAAATGTAATCATAATTAGACAGAATCCCAATCGTTTCGGATATTGGCTATGTACATATGTAAAATTGTCAACTCTCACAATAATGTACCTACAAACATTATTTTCGAAACAAAATTTCTATATAAAAAATCGTAGAAGCAATTTGGCTGATCTAACCTAAAGATTAACCTGAGTTTTATATGCTCTTGTACAGCAACACAAATCCATTTTACAATTAAAATTGACACTACAACCTCAGATTTGCCAGAGAATTAAATTACGGGCACATCTTTAAAAAGGAATAGGGCAGGTGTTTAATTTATAAGCGATATGTAAATGTTATAGTGAATACTAGCTACGAATTCTAGACATCCATCGAGGTTTGAAAAGTTCTGAAAAACAATAAAAATCAAACTATACGTATTAAATATGAAAAAGGTAGAAGTTTTTGTGAAAGATTTCTATATACAATGCTTTAAACTGTTTATTTTCGTTTTTTCGAATGTATAATTGTTTAAATACTAAATTTTCTGTTTATCAATTTCAATTCAATTATTTGTCATTTGGCTTTTAAGGCTGAATGTAGTAATGTTCAGAATGACTGAATAGCTTTTAACTTTAATAAGGCGGTTTCTACTGCGGTAAAGTAGGTGTTCGTAAAAGACAAATATTTAATTTGATTTAAACTCCAAGCGGTACAATTATATTTAAAATTATAGAGAAAATAAACTTATATAGAATTATTTAATAGGTACATTTTAATTAAATTGGCACATTCTCATATTATATACTCTGCTTTTAATATGCTCAGCGTACCCCGATTTCAGGCCAAAACGTTTCATCCAATGTGTGTTCAACCAAATTTTGTATTATTTTTGTATCTTTATGTAAGGTATATAAATTTTAGTGAGCAATAATGTTCTTTTTATTAAATAATGACCTAAAGTTTACATTTAATATTTGATCTTTAAATCTTGGTAAAGAGATGATCGAACGATCCCGCGGCATCAAAGATTATATATAATTAGTATATACCTAATTATACGGTCTAAACCGATTCTAGCTTAATTTAGACAATTGAAAATTTATGTCACAAGTCAAGATTGGCAAGTACCTATCTAAGTTAAATCTATAAATCTTTTAAGTCTAATTATTAGTATTTATTATATTTTAAACGAAGTAACCGGAGAAACAGAGGCATACAGCTACTTTGTTTTGTACTCTACATATACCTACATGTAGATTGCGCTTGAATTATATTTTGTATTTTCCAATGAAAATGAGAGATTTTACTGATCTAAATTGTTAAATTTGATAATTTATAACCCTGCTACTCTAATAGTTTTTGTGTTATAAAGCATTGAAATTTTTGAATTGTATTTATCTCGTGAAAATTATAAAGTTTCTGGTAGTAAATTCATTCAGTACTTTTTAAGTGAAATGCACACAGGTATAGAGATAAAAAAATATATAATAATTTTAGGCTCTACATTCTATATAGAAATAAGAATAATGGTAAGTTATTGTTTTTATTAAAGCAATTTTCAAGTATAATTTTGTTTTACTAGTTTATTATAGGTATGTAGTTACGAGTCTAAGCGGACCTCGGCGGATCTACGTGAAACTTCAAGAGATAATATGTTATAATAAAACAAATATTATAATTACTGCCTGTTTGGGCCGAAGTGACATAATAAATAATAATAAAATCGTTTACATTTTTAGTTAATTATTATTCATTTCTGAAAGGACTACTCACTAGTGAATTTAAAATAAAACCGCTTTAATATCTGCCATAGATAATTTAAAATATTTCAATGTTATGCAAAGGCCTTCGAATTGACATGATGGTCAAATAAAAAAAAAAATCGAACATCCATTTAAATAATATATAAGGTAATAAATGAAATATTTTTTTAATCTTTTGTAAACAATTGTTTATTAACATTTTATTTATTCTTGCATCGCTGCACATAATACACATTCGTCACATACACGCTGGCAAAGATATCACCACATTAGCATTACAATGACTTTTAATTTTATAGGATCTATCTATGGAATTACTTGTTATGCTCCCGTCTACAGGATTGCTTTCATTTTTCTTTTGACTTATGAAAATGTGAATATACTAAAAGTAAACACGAAATATTATAGAATAAATTATTGTACTTTATCTAATTAAAATAATCAAGATAATTAGTTTGTTTGTTTGTTCACATGCAAAATAAACATAGAAAAATAGAAAGAATAAAATAAAAGATAGACACTTATGAGAAATGGAATGATTTGAATTTATCGTCTTTCAGTATATTCACACTTTAACTATAAATGCATTCATTGATTCTCATAAAAATAAGTCCAAAATACAAATCAAGAAGACAATTTAGCTTCAGTCAATTGTAAACAGTTCAAAAAATAATTACACAATGATTTTTCAATAATTAAAGTAATACACATTTATCGCAATTATATTTTTAATAAATAAATTAAAAATACTGTAATTTTATTGGGTTCGGAGCGAAATTACATGGGTGTATATCATTAAAATATTAAAAGATTTTCAAAAAGAAAAATGAAAGTGTCGCTCAACTGATCAACGTTTAAGTACACTAGATATGATATCGATACTTTCGGTAATGTTTCCTATTTCGCATAATTTAATCTTACATTTTGTCACCTTACAAAATTAAATACAAGAACATTATTATAGATCATCAGTCTATTCATAGTTTGATATAAATTTTACAATTTTGTCGATTTAACCATCTAAACTATCGAGTACAAAAGGCAACATAAGAGGTAACGCCTATCACTTAGGAGTAATATCTACAAAATTTTCATAAGACTGTAATTTAACGCAGAAAAGATTCGTCGACGACTCGTCACGCCTTCGGGTAAATGGGAACGCGTGAAAAGTTGTGAACGATACCAATATAAACAACGTGCACTGTACTAAAATAAATAAGTTAAAAACAACTTATAATATCGAGTCCTATGTTGCCTAATGATACTTATATTGTCACAGTACTCTTACGAAAGTAATGGAGAATATTCTTAAATCACTAAAACTTAATAGTTTTTTTTATACACAATGACTTAGGTTTCGACATTTGTTTCTTATAAGTACTCAAATTATTTTAACCTACGGACCATTTAAGTGCGCTGTGTAATTACTGTGAGATGCGAGAGCGATTTTCAAGACCTCCATCGTCAAAATGAACACGGAGGAAGAGAAAATCGCGCTCGTACAAAGGAACAACATTTATTATATATTCCAGATAAAAGAAGTGAGATGAATATAAAAAATCTATGTCGATTTTCAAGAAAACCGCAACAAGATTTTTAGCTTTCAATTAACAATCATAATCATAGGAACAATGACAATAATTAGTCAATCACAAATAAATCAATGTAAAAACAGAACGCATCATTTGCGTTTTTATAAATTAATCTAAAATCTTATATAAACCCACGGTTTGGTTTCTATACTGGTGCGAGTCTAAACAAGGGACAGCGGGGCGTGAACAACAAAGATGCGATACTGACCACCGACACGTCACAGATGAATAAATAAGCACAGATTATATTTCGAATTCAGAATTGAACATAGATTATACGCAAATGATCCTGGACCATTCTTCTATAAAACAAATGAGATCGAACAAGTGAATGATCAGGACTCATTTTGAAATAAAAGAATGGGAGGAGCGTTTGAACGTTTCGTGTAAAGGAGGCATGAGTTTGAAAATGGAATGACTGGAAGTGAAAGTGTGATAGGTTGTATAGGTTTTTACATATTTTGTGACAGTGCAGTGGTGTTTAGTATCGAGTCTGTGCGCGGTCACGCGGCGGACCGAGACCGCGCGAGCCACGCTTCACCGTTACCTACAGAGATCGCAGACAGTGGACCGGAGTCCACTACCCCACAGCAAGCGCGGTCCTCACCCTACCGAAACCCAATTATCATAGGAAATACTTAAATTATGAAAAAAATATGGCTACTAATTGTAACATATTGGTGTGATGTGAACGTCTAAGCAATTCCTATGATAATTAGTTTATCAACTTAATACAATTCACTAGTCCATTTACATTCAGTCATATTATCCTCAGTTCTAAATCGGCCTAAACGCGGTATCGGGCGACGCTTGCCGATAAAGGGTGGAAAAGCGATCCGATCCGCCATAACTATTTACAAGGGCGTACGGATCGCGATCAAAATAAATATATCCGAATACTTAAAACTAGCCATCTATACAGGGGTCACTTTACACTTTACGCTATATGTACACGCGGCGCACAGCCTTGTTCGCACGAGCGTCCGTTGTAAATAAATAAGTTAATGTCCACTGCCGTAAGTTAGCAACTTGCACTGCACTAGCGTTGCGAAGCGGCGAGTAATGGTCGTCTAACAGCGGCGCACAGCCAAGATCGCACGAGCGTCCGATGTAAATAAATAAATTATTGTTCATTGCCGCGTTTGTTAGCACTACACTTGTGTGGCGAACGTGGGCGGCAGGCAATGGTCGTCTAACACGTACACCCCTCCGCCTTCTAGCGCTCTCTTCACTAGCGACGTATCGCTGTAACAAAAAGAGATTACGTTAATAAATTGAACTTAAATTAGCAAAGTTTTTGTTGTGTGTTTTTTGTTAATTTTCTAGCAAAATGGTAAATGGAATATTCTGGATTTATTTGTGATGACAGTAAATTTAATTAAGAAAGTTTATTATTAATATTTTTTCGTATATACACAGCATGTGTTTGATACTAACCTATTAGCGCAATACGCGGAATCTGCTGAGAGCCTCGAAAGCCTTGGGTCAAGCGCTGCTAATAGTCTCGCAGCACTTTCTGTGTTGAGTGTTTTTCGTTTACATTCTTCTGCCGCCGCATTATGCGCGTTCTGGCATTCAGGTACTGGCCCTTCACACTTGCCCCAAGTATTTCTTATGACGCGGCCTCCATTACCCGCGTTAGCTGCGTTTTGTGCTCTCGCTTCAGCATCTGCAGCATTCTGTGCCCTCTTTCTTCTTTTCTTAATGCATGCGAAAGCAATGCCCGCTACAATGGCTGTTAGCGGCACCGCCACTGACAATATAGCTATTAGCGCAATATGCTTGTCCGATAAACTTTCTTGTTCAGGTGTTTCCTCTCCCACTCTTCGTAAATGGCCGCCCGCCGGTTTCGCAGCCGCAAAGTCCGCTAAGGATACAGTGCACGATTTTCCACCCCAGCCGACAGGACAGTTGCAATGATATCCGTCTACACGATCCCGGCATGTCCCACCGTTGCGACAAGGTGATGATGCGCATTCGTCCACGTCTATGCTGCAGTCCTTCCCAGCGAAACCCGGTCGACAGCGGCATTCATAGTCGTTATCGAGAACGTGGCACTCTCCTCCATTAGCACAAGGTTTCGCTAAGCAGAAGTCAACGCGTGTTTCGCATCTAGGACCGAGAAACCCGGGAGCGCATTGGCATCTTTGTCCATTGACTAAATCCACGCAAGTTCCACCATGTTCGCAAACTATTCCTGCACAATCATCGATATCGATTTCGCATCGGTTTCCTCTAAAACCGGGTTTGCACGTGCATCGGAAGCCATCGCCGGCTCGTGTGCATGTCGCGCCATTTCTGCAAGGATTAGCCGCGCATGGATCTGCTTCGACTGCGCAATCTAAGCCAGCATAGCCCGGTGGACATAAGCAAACGTAGCCGGATTGTCGAGGTTCACACGTGCCGCCGTTACGACAAGGTTGATCACTGCAGGTTAACCTTCGTGTTTCGCACTGTGCGCCCTCGTATCCAGAAGGGCAAGCGCATGACAGTTCCCCACCTTCATCCGGAACGCAAGCACCTCCATTCAAACACGGTCGAACAGCACAGGAATGGAGTGATTTCTCGCAGTCGGGACCGGTGTACTCAGGTGGACACATACACGTGTAGCTGCCTTGCCCTGTATTGTGACAGGTACCTCCGTTCCTGCATGGTCGATGGTTGGTACAGTAATTTAGATCTTGATTACAGAAGAGACCACCCCAACCTTCTTCGCAAATGCAATCCCAAGGTTTCGAGCACGTACCGTGCACGCAACCGGGATGCCGCTCGCATTGATCGCAAAGCTCGCCCACCCAGCCCGAATGACAACTGAAATTAAAAAACATAAGTCAATAATGTATACAACGTGATAACAAGCATTTAAAAAGCATATGTCGAAGGAACAATGACGAGGATGAATGATTTAGATGGAAGAACGTTAAGCGTTTAACACAAAGGTGTGAAGTACTCACATGCATTCGTCGGGCTTGAGGCAGTGGCCGTGCTCCGCGTCGCAGCCGGGCAGGCATCTCGCTGCAACAAAAGGAATAGGTTCGTTAGCGCATCACAAAGACAAAGCTCACACAATGGAACGCTACCGGTGGTACTAAAAGGCAAAAACGGTCGATAATTCCTCAGTGGTACGCAATTTCGCATATTAGCCGTGGAATCTACGAAGAATTGCAAAGGACACGGTAACAAAGAGAGAGGTTCGTTAGCGTCCCGAGTCGGGGGCGAGGTCACGCGCACCGATCATTTATTTCTACCTATAACCATGGCGAGATGTTATACGAACTTTATTGCTCAAATTAATTTATACTCACACATACCTTCTAGTAGTTACAGGACGTAATTTCATTCCTGCTCGAATCGCTTTATTTCGTAATGGTGAGATATTTATTTATATTGGATTCTAAACATTCATATTTTATTCGGACGTGATGTATTACCAACGTAATATGTGCGCATCGTTAACCGTGTGATTTACGTGCTATACTCGGCGAACCTTACCCTGTTCTGGCGTGACTATGTAATGAAAATGTAATGGAAGAAACTTGAATTTGCGCGTGCATTGCGGTTTGAGTACAGACAAAGGTACGAACAACAAAAGGTAAAGAAGTAATGGCACAGTGAGCGTTGTAAAAAAAGGTGTTTTGAAATGAGAAGTGCGGCGCAGCGTCGTATCGGTCGGGTGCGCATGGGCAAGTTATCGGAGCGAATACAAAGGGGGCAGATAGCGCGGGGAGTCTAACCGTCACTCGACCGTTACTAGTCCCCTAACTCACTAGAAAAATACTAAGACGCCATTTTGTACAACGCATTACCTAGTCAAATGCACATTTAAGCCAGGCTTTCGCGTTCTAAATTGAACGAGGAAACAGTTTAGTTCGACTATATCTCTGGATTTCCGAGCGGCGGCGGCGGTGTAATAAAAGAGATTAGTCTGCCCGCCGCTCCCTAGAACGTAATATAGGTTTAAACTCATCCGGACTAACTCAAAGCCCCCGAACTCGCTCGAATCGCTCGCAAAGCCGCTTACGAATCACTCTGTTAAATTGGTAAAGTTATCTAGTATTTATTCACTATGGCAACGATACGGCGATTGTAGATGAAATTGAAAATATAATCCGCTTTCACAAAGCTTTTTACTTTCGCAGGAGAAATTTATAATCTAAACAATGAGTACTCTCATCTATACATATAATGAAATTGTAACTAAGCCGACTCTATACATTAAATATTTTTTGAAAAATCTTATTGAAATAAACATTATAATCAATACAGAGGCCGAAACTAGTTTTAAATTTTTTTTCTGTCTGTCTGTCTTGTCTGTTACCGCATCACAGAAAAACCACGAGGGATTTTGATGAAATTTGCTATGGTGATAGCTCAATCCGGGTCAGTTATAGGATACTTTTTATCTATTTAGGAAAATATCTCATTTCTGAGAAAAAATGCAAAAACTGCAATGTAAGAGTATACTAATCTGTAAAATCTAAGAATTTGGTTTTTGTCATCTGAACGCGGGCGAAGCTGCGGGCAATGCTAGTGACATTATATGTTTATTTATTATTAGCATCATAACGTTTAAAACGTAAAAAGAATCGAAATAATGGGATGGCGCAGGCATATGTCGGCATAAAGGGGCATCAAAGACTTTCGAGTGTCGGCTACATTGCTCATTGCACTATCCACTTAAATATCGCTTGAATTGTTTTATCTCAACCCTTGAAAGATAGGTAAAACGGGAGTCGTAAAAATTACACTTCAAATACAATATTAAGGGTACGTGATCACGAGAGCCACGTACTACATGTTTATCGCTCCCTGGCTATCAATTAATTATATATCAATGAATAGGAACGGTATCGATTTCTAATGTTAGGCTAAGGGGCACCGCACTGCGACCGACCAAGGCCTTACAAAATAAAATTTTACTAACAAAAAATTGGTTTTACAAGGTAAAGAAATGACAAAAAGTGACCTTCCCCGAGGAAGATGTGCACGTGTTCAGGACTGAGCAAATATTTAACTGTTCCGACATCTGTTTCTATTCAAAACGGAAATTAGGTGCGCGTGGGATTCGCAATTCTACACAGAAGGTAATATTCGTGAGAACTCCACTCTCGCTAACAATTAGGCGAAATTAACCGGCCGTAAAGGGTTTCTCTCTCGATATTTACCCTATCATTAAGAAGGAGAGCCGGACGATCGAGATAATACTGTCGGGACATGCAAATAAGTTTTTCTGATTGTTAAGCTTTCCCAGAAGGCGAGATACCGTTCAGAAGATGCAAGCAAGTTTCATGACACGGTCAAGTATAAAGTATATTTCGATCTGTTCGATTTTCTTTTAAAGGTGTTTTTGACCCGGTTCTCGACGTTGTATTGTAACTATGTGTGCGTGTGCGAACGAAGTGTTGTTTTCATTTCATTATAGTCGCTTCACTCGCTTTTACGTTTTCGTAATCGGCGATGTGCTTGCGGGGTATAGGGTCACCCGACTATTACATGTCGCATGTGTATTTTAGAAAGTAGCATTAACCTCTCACGAACGAGATGAGAAATTTCCCTGCTCATCAAAAATAGTTGCCATATTTGTCGACCGCAACTGTTAAGGTTTTACCAGAAAATTGTAATTTCGTGGTCATCCCGTCGCGTGGTTGTACTAGGATTGTATAGTTAGCGGGCGGACAGCCCTGGCGTGGAAGTGAAATAGCGCGCTACACGGAGCGATGTGCCTGTCTCTTTCTCGCGCGTTTTTTTGCGGCGCCGGAGTGTGGGAACGCAGCGGCAGGTGGGGCTGCCGAGATTGCGACGCGACATCCGCCCGCCACAATGCATCTTGAGTCGCACCGCTTTGTTTTACAATACAAGACGCGATGTCTTTAACATACGCCAGAATGTAATGACGTTTGAAACGTTTAGATTTTTTTCATTGATAGCCATCCGCTTGCTTGATCGATTAAAATTGCAAATTAGTTTGTTTTGCGGAAATAGGGAAAATGGTACAATGTAAACTTCTATTTAGCGGGACTTTCTTTGTACAAAATAATTTAGAGCACATAAAAAAGTTATTATTTAGAAAACATAATGAATAAATGGTATTGAAGTGATAATAAATGGGAAGGGCATTGATGAATGTCGCTAATGAGACGGCGCGGGCGGCGTTTTTCCTTGCTTTTGTTTACAAATCCGGCGGCATTCAAAGACAAACAGACCACACGGGCTCAGAGGCAAGCGGTCACACGATTCTCAAACTATGTGACAGTACCATCAACAATTCAATAATCTTTTCTATTAAACTTCATATTAAGCATTTCCCCTTGTAATTTAAAACCCTAAGCTTCTAATTTAAAAGCTTGAGCTTGGGTATAAATCTAATCTTTGCAATAGCGATAGTTGGCTAACTATAACCATTTATTATCTATATTTTACATGGGATCAATACTGACCTACGTTTCAAGCCAAGCCAGAATAAAAATAAAATTCAACAAAAATAATGCATTAACTGCATATGACCGCCCGAGTTCTAAAAGAAACTTCGAACGGACATTAATTTCAGTGATTTAATTTATGCCGCGCAATAAACTTTAATGATGGATGAAGATATACATCTACAATTAAATATTTGAAGCAACGACCCGATAATTATCATAAAACTGATTTGAAAGAATTAATTAAATTATAACAAGATGTGAAAAATTCTTATTTAACAATTGAAATATTTATAATTTTTAAACAGGAAGTGAAGTAACCCTGCGATCATAAAATAGGTTTTTGAACTCAAAAGTTTTTGAATGAGATTTCACTAAAAGGTCGTTAACATTAGTAATAATGATGTGAAAATTAAAACATATAAAGCTGTTCTTAGGAGTACGATATTAGTGCATAAACTGTTCATTCTTAAATAGAAAAATTACAAGAAAATTCGCTTTGACATTCGATGTAATGTTTAAATAAATGTGTAAATTTAGCGCAAGTTTCCTATGGGAAGTATCCCTCCCTTGACCTCGATGACTCATCGGCGTAATGGCTAGAAAGTATTACATGTTCCATATAATTGTATGCTAAAATTGGGTTTATGAGGATGTTCGACCGGATTTGTCATCGTAACCCATTAATGAGGAAGAGTAAATTGGTGAATGCTATTTTAATAGCTATTAAGGGTCGTTACACACACAATTAGAATAGATATAATATTATGAAACAGAAATGAACTTACGTTTTGAACAGTAGTCGCCAGTCCACCCGGTCTTGCATACGATTTCTCCGGTAGGTGAACAGGTGTAGTGTCCAAATGGATCGTCTCTCGGTCTGCACAGCACTTCGCAGCCTGGTCCATAGTAGTGTGCGGCACACGTTACTCGGTAAGAAAGCTTCAAATGCGCGCCACCCACACCTCCCCACCGTTGCTCCTCCTCGATCCAGGGCCCTCCAACGTCAGCAATACTTTGCTTCGTCATTCGCGCAATGAGTGTATCTGAAATAACAAGCCCCAATTCAATACAAATTTCAACATAAAATAGACCGGAGAAAGATAAATTTCACTAATCCCCTACAAAGATCGAAATCTCGTAAGGATAACGACACAGCTTAATTCGATAAAGAAAAAGTAATTTGTTTATCAGCGTGGGAAAGCGTATGGAAGCAAATTGACCTGTTACAGTGGGCCGTTTGACGCCCGCATTCAAACGCGAGTTTTCATTGTTCCCAAGCGTGATTCAGTGTTTTGGTTCGTTGGCGCCTATTTGATTGATTAAGGGTTTTAACCACATTCTTATTTTGTGTAACTATACTTTAACTAGGTGTACTAATTGTATTGAAGGTATCGTATCTAAGAAATCCAAAAGCGAGAACAAGAAAGGTGAGTTTACATAACTTCCCGTAAAAAAGATTCAGCAGAAACTACCCGCAATGATTAAAAAAAAAATGAATTGCCAATCCATTCATCAAAGCGATGTAAGTTGTGAGACGGAGGCGCGCTGGGAAACCTTACCGTCGACCAGTTCCTTTATTTATTTCTCTTCGTGTATGCCAGCTTTTTTCTCTTTTTGCTACGCTCGACGTTACATTCCTAAGCCGGTAATCCCGACAGCAGATAAAATTAAACCAGACGCGAAACAAAATTAAAAGGTATATAAAAACGATCGATCCCGACTAATTTTGTGGCGTATGGCATTCGATAGCTGAACATTGTTCTTTGTTATTATATAGTGTCAGTGATAAAGCAATTCGAGTAATGAGACTATATTATCTTGATCTAATTCTTTCCTGTTTTTTTTATAATATGGAATTTACTATTATTGACTACAGCTTCTTTAAATATTTATAAATTTGTATCGTTAGCAAAATTTTGGAAGAGAAACAAGTACGTAGCTGATTCACCTCGTGTTACATAATCCGGTGTAATCTGTAATAGCTAGCAGATGAGGAATCGCACAGCGAAGGCGGAATACCATATAGCATATACAATTGAGCGTAAGCTTACACCGATCGTATCTATGCAATAAATCTGGAAGATAAAACACGTACCTACACTCGAAGCTCGCCCAACGAAAATATAATAAATACCAATAAATTTTATCCGCGATCGATTCGAATAGAAAACGTAAATCGTGTTACCGAAGAAATTTTAGCACATGAAAGCTCAAAACCTTTTATCGGTAACATAAGAACGTGATCTGGAATCTAAATAAATAAAATCACCAAATGTCTAATTTATAATATTAAATCCTTAGCTCTTTGAAAGTTTAACGTTGGCGCAATATGATACGTTTGTAACAAAGAAATGTTATTAAAGCGAAGTGCAGAGTTCGGAGGGAATTAGAAAAATGATGTGTGGGAACGTAGTCGGAGCGGTGTGCAATTTAGCTCGAATGTGCTTGGAGAATTATGGCAACCGAGCATTCGCTCAGGTGTGCTAGGGCTGCTACCCGAGTGATATATGAGCGCTCTGACACACTACATACCGTTTAATACGCGCGTGCATATATTACAAGACACGATGAAAAATAACTAAAAGATATTCGCCTCCTATAGACAATAAAGTGAATAAAATGTTTCATTTGTTCATGTTGAGTTCGTACAAATTACACTCATCATCCAAAATTATTGTTGAAACGATATTAAATGAAGGTGTATCCTATCTCGTCTATTAATGTAGTTCAAATTTACGAATAAATAACACATTAAAAGCAGAACGGGGAATACTGGTACGTGCTGGACTGTAACATATAATTACGAGCCCAGAGGTCACTCAAAATTATAAACTAAGAATAAATCCATCGATACAAACAAAAGAAAGGCAAAATAACAGATAATTGGACGTGGGTTCGATACGAAGCGGACGTAAATTATTTCGTATATTTTTATATACGATTTAGGGAAAGTCGGGGGGATGTGAACACGCAAATCGGCTTCCGTTGATCATCGATCACTCAATAACGCCACCGGATGCGCGTTCTACTTCATTATATAGGTTGTGGATTGACAAGTACTAGGTCTGCTTCAGCGGTCTAATTGCTAAGAGCTCGTGTAGAACAAAATAGCGACTTTGTCCTGCCCTACTGTGGTCAGTGAATCATTGACAGTTGTCTCGAATTCTCGTTTTAGACACCTGCCTAACCGGCCGACCCGTTGCCGCTGGCGCTGTGGGAAACGGCATCTCATCAATGGACAGTGTACACAAACGACGCACTCCTTTTGTTTATAACTGTCCACTTCTAATGCTCGACGTGTATTTCAATTTGAGTGGCGCACTCGGCGTCGCGCCCTGCACTGTGTAAACAAACCAACGAATTTGTATAGGCGTTTGGAATTTATGACTTTTGGTCAATTTGACAGCTAACACTCGATCATTCTCCTTAAGACGTTTTGCATATAATAGATTTTGTGAGCGGTACAATTGTTAATGTACCCAATAGAAGTTTAAAACGCATTTAAAATCTAGATTTTAATAATATTTTTGAATATTATTTAGCAAACAAATTATAAATTGTCAATAGCGTTTATATTTTTAATAAATTATAAATATTTTGATATTTAATAAATAAATTAAAAGAAGCTTGTTAATTATAAGGTAAATCTTCTCATATAACAGTATCATAATCGCATCTGGTTTGTAATATTAGGTAGCGGCCCCGCGGCTACGAACGCCGCGCCAGACCAGACACGTAATTGCCTTTGAATCTGTTATCATTACTCTCTTTTCACACGCTCCTATTCTCGTATCTACAATACGTAGGTGTAAACCGAGACACTGCAATAATCGTAAACGAAGTGGCGACTCGATAAACAAAACAAACGGGACACTGTTGTACACCTATTATCCGGAGCATGTGCTCAGTATCTGTCGACAGCACTTCCCGACTTCGTCAATGGTGTTACATCATAAATTGAACCTTCCGGACCATCTTCCGTGATTTTTTATCCAGTAAAGCCATATGACGACGAAAGACGAAATATAAACTAAAATCCACTTCCCCCGAGATACATTTTTTAGTATCGAGTAAACAAAACACGAAGCCGTTAGTGCGTCCCAGGTGCAGCCCTGTTCGCCTCAGGCGATGCACAAAAGATTTCGGTGAAGGAGCAAACTACGTCAGAATTGCAAGCAAAGCGGGCATTGTCGCTCGGCTATTTGTTTAGTGCAAGAATCCCTTTATACATCACCGTAAGCCATCATCTCTTTGTTACATTCGTACTTATCTGTGATATATTGCATTCTTAGTCGTGTGTCGCTATTCTTCGCAATTCTTTATCTCTTCAGCGTAAAATCGAAAGATGCAGGGATGGTAGTCATTATGAATAGAAAAATTATTTTAATCTACAATGCAGCTGTTTCACATAAGAAAAACCGAATGTGATTTAATTAAACATTAGCCCAATGGGTCGATAGTGAGTGAACACAAACGGCGTGTATGTAACCTGTTATTATGCTTGATTAGATTTCTGTTGGTAACATTTCTCGGTAGTGCGACGGCGCCGCCCATCGCTCCCGCACCGTATTAAAAATATACCCGTCCTCTTAAGCTATCCACTTCGGACGCTAATGATTTTCGGTAAACCGGCCCGTAGCACTCCTCCTCATATCTTTAAATCTCTTTTAAGTAAATCACCCAAAGTTTTTGTTACTCGGTCAGGAGTTATAATTATGTCGGTCAGAGTGCAGCAGGATGAAAAACTAATTAAGAAATGGGCGTCGCCAGTCAGTTTTCGCTTTAGCCATTTTTGTATTTTTAAACATTGATTCAGACGATTGTTTATGTTTGGGTGCCTTCAAATTTGTCCATGTCGAGATCTATATATGAATATATGCGCAGTTAATTATTATGATGATGTATTTACGTTAAGCTGTGCGTTTACAAATCATTGGGAATGGTTTTTTCGGTCACGCCATGTCGCATGTAAGCCGTAAACCTGTCGATTCTTTATTGGGCGTTCAAGCTCTGCGCGATATCGTCGAATGCAATAAGCCAAACTTTTGTATCGATTCTATCATTCGTCTATAATAAATATTTAAATGATGGTTATCTAAATGTGTTGGGTAAATGGCAAACCTTATTTATTACATTTTATTTACTTGTGCTGATGGGAACTTAAAAAATGTAAAAACTCGCGTAATTGTCGAATACGCAATGAGCATTTTCGTCTAGGTATCGGTCAATGTCCATCGGAATACATTAGAACAATTCTACTAAATTTTCGTCCTACAGAAGGCTGAGTTTATTAGAATACGACGTGCATTGCGAAGCGACTCACGCGCGCCGCCGCGTGCTTTGAACACCAATCGTCCATGCCATGGGAACATTTTTGTCTTCCACGATATGATAATATAAGCATTCAAATATACATACTGTCCGTTAAATGCACGATAAACACCCAGAATTACAGTGAAATCTGAATGTAAGGGAGTCGTGACGAACGTGATATGAATTTTACAAAAATTTCAACGTTTTCATGACACTTTTTTTATCATAATTGCATAAAATACGAAGTTGGACTCACCATCAGATCTTGACGTTTCATTCGTGTCATGCCACGCTTCGACTATAAGCGAGAAGGTGCCCTGAAAATAAAATAGCACAATTATTAGACCAAAAAATAATAAGTTGAATCGAAAAGAAACATATACAAACAGTTATATTAGTTTAACATTTTCTATTTGAAAGTTCAACGGGTACGCGTTGGTGTCGCTCTCCTCACAATGAGATAACGCAAGATATCCTACCATCTTAAGCGAAGACCTTTAAAATGGGCGCGGCGTTCGAGCATTTCAAATATTTCCTTTACTTTACGACGTCGTTCAGTATGGCGCATGAGTGTAAATTAACAACATGATAGACAGGTGAACCGAGGAGCAGATGGCTTTGTTATAATACGAGCTAAAAATACTGCTAGCGCAATAAGGCGACTGCTGGAGTACTTAATGCCCAATATGGAATCGTGTAATGTTTCCGTGGCATCGAAAAAAAAATATGTTAACGGGTGCGTATCAGATAGTGAGCTATTGACATTTGTCGATGTTTACATAAGGAGGCGAAACGGCAGTCGAAATTCGATTATCGGTGATAAGGCGTCGAGTCAACAGTTTGTAGGCGCCCGTCATCTTTATCAATGAATTTTATGATGATTTGGGTTTCGTTGATGCAAAAATGTGTAAAATTATATAAAATAAGTAACTATCGATTGACAAGAACCGGTCGTTCTTACCATACAACGTACAAGTGTTGTTTCGATGCATGAATAATACCGGTAATAATAGATCTACAATTTACCGTAATTACACGTAAAAAGTATCTTTCAAGTTTAAAATAAAAGTTTTGATAAGCCTATATAAATATTAGCCTATAAAGCCAAATAAATAATTGAAATACATGTATAGTTCAGATATTTTAACTTATTACGAGTTTATACCGATAACTACACGTAACTGACACGCTTTGATAATAATAAGTTGGTAAGGGCGAAGAAGTCAAAAAGTAACAGGTCATTTACAATCAATAAGGTAATCAGACGGCGATGTCCGACGACGGTAAATGTTTGATTCCTCAATAGCCGACGAGGCCCGTGACCAAATGTAATTAGATACATACACGTCACACGTCGCCTGCAGCTGCGCCTAACGGATGTGAAGGGTCACCATTTTAATTTCTTCATAAGATCACTACACGAACTCTTAAGGAGTGATTCAGATATGACAGATGTCCCCCGTTGTCAATTAGCTTGATGAATGAAAACATAATTTACATGAGCGAGAACGAACAATGAGCTATTTGCATAGGAACTGATATGAGCCTCTCTAACGAAACAATAATCATTGTCGGATGGTGGAAATCAATAGTAGAAATCCAGTTTCCCAACGCACATCACACGGCTGTATACGGTAAAAATGCACGCGTTTTTCTCTGCTTGTAAATGTTGATGGTTTATGTTCGATTAAGCTTTCGATATGGAGTTCTGGCGAATTTGTTATAAGTAATCCTTGTTTAATACTTTGACAAAAGACGGACATGTTGTCGGACATTACTGAATACTAAACAGGCGAACGGATTGCGAGACTAAACAGATTTGATCCTTACACACGAGACTCCTTTAGTTAATGTAATGTCTATTTAACGTAAATAGTCCTGCCTTTATAAGGAGCGAGGAAGGTTGTCGAAATATATTATGATTTGTTTGCACGATCAAATATGGTGAGTCGTAGTATACGTTGTATTGATTTGTTAATCGAGTATGGAGAGCGCATTTCGGTCAGCTGTAGTTGGCCGTAAGTATATGCCGGTTCCCACGACAGTGACTCTCGAGGCAGCCCATAAAAAGCGGACGACGACGTAAGCGTACGTGTACAGGTAGCCTTTATAAACGTGCCGAGTCGGCGATACCGTATACTTATGATACTTGCACAGATCTTCTAGTCAAACAAAATACCTTGTTTAGATTAGCTTTTATTTTAACAATATAACCTTATTTTTTTTATTATTGATATAAAATCTTCTAAAATATAGTTTTAACACTGTGTTATCGACATTTTTAATTACTCAGCATTACAGTTTTCGATGTATTTATTAAAAAAAACGACGTTTATTACTTAAAATACAAGGTTGTGAGATTGTACCATATCTTGGCACATTAACTATCCCTTTGAATGCGATGCGTTAATTTGTATTACTGCCTCAAACGAAAGCAATGGAACGATATCATGGCCTCAATACCGGGAAATTGTTTGATAATCGTTTTATGAGGGTGCTCAAAGAGGCTACTCCCATATCAGAGCCTGCTTTAAAGTTATTTTGTTATTAATTAAGGAACAGAAATAAATAAAAGGATACGTGGGAAAGTTTTCATATTCTGTTTTGTTTTTAAGCGCCATCTGTTTGGGGTTTACAGCTTTAGGACAAAAGGTATAATCAGGTGACCGGTACTTTCGCGCATCTTTCGTACACGTGTTTCGGTCACTATTGTTTGTTTTGTTTATTTATTGTTTCGTTCATCTTTGTTCAAAGTGAGAGAAAATAAGCAGATGTTTTGTATTTAAGTTTCTTAATAATTATGTTTTTGAAAGATAACCAAACAATATATTTACTTTAAATGTTGGATTTTAACTAAAAATATTTTTTTTTAAATAAAGCCAGTATCTATACATTACAAAAAGAGCATCTTAAATTTGTTACAACACGAGAAAATACCTAGTTATTTGGAACACAAACAGCCGGCCAAGTGGAGGAGTCGTGATTTCATATTTCACACTTCACTAGTGTGGTAACATCGTTCCGGACAGGTTTTTTCGTTTAACTATATCCGACGAGAACTCGTCTCTCGTGTTTTCGATCTATCGAAATAAGGTTTTATATGCAACGATTGAGGATACTAAGAAAAAATTAATGTAGCCCAATGATACGAAGAGCGCAACAGATTGAAAAGCCATACGTCAAATTAAAAGATATGCAAATTTCAATGTCTGTTCGATACAGACTTGGACCGTGAAGTATTAAAGCGATTCGAGCTTGTGTAATCCAAATTATTAATGCTTTTAATTAAGTAGGTATATTCTATTTTAGTATAGTCCAGGTCGTTGACCCGATGATTCACAAGATAAATTAGCCCCTAAATTGTAACATACATACATACACAGCAACATGTTATTTTATACCGTGTGAATAAGAGATTTTTGTGTACAAATATTCACTTATAAAAAATATCCAGGTCGACATTTTATTAGCGACAGTACACATGCATCGGTTAGAATGCTAAACAGTTTCGTGGTAAACACGAGTAACTATGACAAGCGGTATCGAGCATATATGTTATGCTGGTAAATTGTGAATACCTTAGCGTTCTGAGTGTTGTTTATTTTCTATGATACTTTGTTTAGTGGTCGGGTTATACTTGTTGGTATATGAACGTCTCGTAAAGCTTATAGACAAAAGACGTTCTCAAAGCAAGCAACCTTGCGGCCTATGTGAACTTATGGCGTTACAAATTCAAATAGTGAAACGAGTCTTTGTTTAAGCTCATAAATGTTTTAAATATGTTAGATCATGTTGCTGCATTCTTTAAAAAATTTAAATAGCGTTCAGCTTAGAAATTTAATTTTCTTTAACAAAAACAACAATGAATTTGAATCTGAAGTCCTCTTTTTTAATAATTTTATTTAATGGTAACTGTAAAATTAAGGAGGTATTAAGGTTTTATTAGAATATGGTAATAAACACTTGCCTTTTTTTTAATCTGTACACAGACTAATGTCTGGTCCATTCGGGTCATACGATTAAAAACAGAATAAATATAATATTACTTAAATAGCTTAACTTTTTTTAAATAACCTTGTACATTAACATTTTAAATATATTACAAACATGGCAACATAATTCTAAAACTAGGTAGGTAGTTAAATATTAAATGGTATGTAAAAATATTAGTCGTTTTAAAGCGCCAGAATTATAATACTTGAGAAAAGTAAACATTAAGGTGAACGGAACGAACAAAAAAAAGTAAATAAGTTTTATTATTAAAGGATTAATTACCGCTGTCGCTTTACTAGGTAACATTAAAAGTTGAAGAGCGAGTCGTAACTTAAACGTAATGTTATACTTTATATCATTGACGATTATTTAAGTCTGTGAAGCTAACATTAAAATAGACGTAATCACGTTTCCGACGCTAACGGCCTGTCTGAGGTCGTATACACGGAATAAGTCAGACACTAACAATTTATTACCCCCAATTACAACAATCGCGAAAAAAACTTCGTCCAGGATGGAATCTTGGACTTTTAAATCTGGGCGAAGTGAAAAAAGAAGGCTACATTTAATTTCACATGGCATCAGTGGCATTCGGCAGACGGACCGTACTCAGGCTCTCAGGAATTCCAAAAATGAAAATGTCGGCCATAAACAACTGAATTATTTGGATGAAGCATAAGAATTAAAAAATAAAATTAAGAATTAACAAATTTTGGATGGGTGATGTCCGCACCGGCTTCACCCGCTCCGCGATCGTCGATAAGGTCTGAGAAGGGTAAAGCGTTGAAATCGAAACCACGTTAAAAAACAAATCTCGAGATCAGTTCATCCGGATTTTATCCGAAGATGACGCGCGATGCCTCTCCTAATACAAGTTTAGACATGATTATTTTGATACGTATCTCAGATTTTTTTCTAATCCACTTTGCATACCTACGCCAGCAGTGAAATAAAATTAAATGACACGACCGATGAGTAAGTCTCGTTATACATGTAACTAGGATATTAACCTCTTTATATTCCCATCACGGCAGACGTTATGGAAATAAACTGAAAATTGTTTAAAAATACAAAAGCTCGGTGCAAACGATAACCGTAATCCTTCTTGCCTCCACAACGGTTTCTCGGCTTTCCAGAAAGTTTCAGACTTTGCATTCCTAATGAGTAGAATATTCTCATTATCAAGATCATTGGACGCTCTGATTTTCTAGTTTTCGCGGAGGTTCCCAGACTTTCATCGGCCTTTGACACGTCTATAAATTCGACGAAGTACGTACAACGCACGTAAGTATCATGCCATCTCCCATACTAAATAATGACAGCGATTTATTCGCGCAGTTGCGGATACGAGTAGAGCATGTGAGCGTTCGCGGTGCTACTCGCAATTCCTAGAAACATCGCGCGTGTGATGAATAAAGACAGGAATGTAAAGAATTTAATCAATGCAAATTCGAGGGCTTCTCGCTCCCTAGCTTGACGTGAGAACGTATCCGATTGAAATGAAACGTTTGGGATTGGGAACTAAGATTTCTACATACTACTAAATTGGAACGAATTACATTTATTTATATGAATTTTTGTTCTACAAATACCAAATTTCATAAATTATTAGTAACAGTAATTCAATTATCGAGGGCAAATTTGTCACCGTGTAATGATATAAATCGGGAACCTTTACCATTTTATTAGTGGCCGTAACTGACTAAGAGGGAGGCAGTAAAAATGTCAGAATATGAACACAAACGAGCGTGCATTTGAAAAAGGACTGTTTTCTTAAGCGCTCGGCCCAGACGTGGTATAATAACAATACTGGTAAACTTTATTGTCTATTCATTCTCTTGATGAGCTTATTTTCTTTATCTCTTCGTCTATGACTACACATTATTTATTATCTCGAATTTTCGAATACCATTTTAATAGATATTTTGTTATTGTAGCATCCGTTGAACACTTAAGGCGGTGGAGTTTATTGTGATGGGTTTATTTAGGCGAATTTATGTGAAATTAGTGTGTTGATAGGTTGCCGAATAGCTGTTCAGTGGCTCTGAACAATGCAACCTGCTTAGTAATTATATACGCTCCGATTGTTTAAATTTGAAAGTTATGAAATGTTAAATCATGAAATAGTATATACGCAAGCCGGTATGCCTTGTCCCTTAGAACACTCTTGCGAGGAATTTCATTTCGCAATACATTTTTTGTTAAAGTTTAATTGCTATTCGTCGAAAGGAGAGAGATAAAAGACGGTGTAAAGAGGGAACACGATCGAAAGAGACATTCCATAGCTTCGGTTGATTATTAAAAGAAGCGGATGTAGGGGTAAGTATTTTAAGAGGATCCCGGCGCGAGCGGATTGAGATAAAGGAAATTATTAAGAGCACTCTCGGAAAAAACTTCGTAGACGGAAGTTTCTCAGTGGTTCGTGTATATAGGGTTATGAGGCGTTCATATATCGCGTTTCGCTTTGAAATTATAAAGTAATAAGCCGATGATCCATGCGGAGGTTCGCGTTTTATGTTTTTTTTTTTCGAGCAATCGACGACTTATGTAATAGCTGTATTGTGGATAGAATAACAATGCCGGACATGCTAACTGATTATCATTCACTTATAATTATGTTCGTTTTGTGGCGCCAAAAACTTAGTGTTAAGATTCACGAAGGCATAAGATTTTACGACACACGGTACGTACAGATTGTTAATTACTTTCTAATGATAATACAACAGAGGTGTTATGTTGCCGGTGTATGGTTCACACGTGACAACGGCTCGCACTCGATTCTTATTGCGTGCGCTCCTGTACTATTGTTTTGAGATTCGGATCGGTCGTGACGTCACCGAAACGTTAATTTCCACGAAACAATATACCGTATGTCATGTTTTTGCACAAAATAAAGATATGTTCATACTATATATATACATATATAGTATACTATAGATATACGACATATTCTTCGGAGATGCTACTTTCATTTAAATTTTTACTAACATTCAGAGCGTGAAACTATTGACGAAACATGCAAAATAACTAACAATCTCTAGAATTAGTTACGCCGTTGCTTAGTCTACTTGTTCCACAATAAAGAAGCGTATTTCTTCACATTATGACATAAATGCATTAATCAGGCACTCAACTTGCGATTATAACCTATTAATTAAATTTATTATTTTTAATTACTATATTAGACACTTGTATGATACCTGTTAGAGATCTAGTCTTTATGACAATTGCAAAATGATTTACTTTATACGAAGCAGTAATAAAAAGTTTGCTGGCGGATGTATAATACATAAAAATGCTATAGTCATTGCCAACGAAAACACATAAAAATACAAATATGAGTGTTACAGCCTGGCTCTTTGATTTAATTAACCATAATTAAGTTAAATCACGCTAGTTCTTGTCAGTGTCTCACGGTAAAAAATGATAAAGCTCGCTATGTCGTCGGCCAGTCGACATTAATTCCTTCCGGTGATACTATTGCCTGTAAATAAATATGTCGCAGGATTAGAAAGACATATTTAGATCAATATTACGGATAATATTAATTTAAACATCCTTTTTATAATTTTATAACAAATAAAAATAATTTGATCGATTCAATTACTAAACGGTATATTAAGAAAATTTAAACCTCACTCTCGCTCAGATTCAGAGTGCAACATCGTGTTATTGTAAGACGCAGCCGACCTTCATAAGCTTTGTGGGAAAGTGACTTGCCAAAATCATTTTGTTCCCAGGGATACACTGGAATATTTATCGAATATAAATAAGTGATACTTAATTGGTGTGTAATTAATCATTTGATAGGTTGTATTCAACTCAACGAGATGAAGACAATTTATTGAGATAACATTTAACAATGGCATCTTAAAGTAAGGTTTGAAGCAATACGGATCTATGTTTAATTCATAAAAAGTATAGTTCACGGTCAGTTCATAGCAAAGGCGTTGAAATGTACGGCTCAGGACCTGTGTTTGCTTAACACATATGTACAGTAAAAATAGCAGGTGTTTTATAAATTTCTATATGTGCAATTCTGTTTTTTTGCATTAAAACGTTGTCGTAACGGTTTCCTCTTGACATGGAATGAATGAACCCGTTCATGTTGTCGCGGGTTTTTCACCCTCTAAAGGCCACTACTACCCCACGCGATTAATAATTTTCAACTATTCAACATGGATTGTACAAATAAGAGCTTTTTGAGTGTATATGCGATGTTTGTCTTAATCCGGTCCACCGCTTTGTCACATCCGGACCGGTTAACGGGTCTCAATATAAAACTTGTGATTTACAAACACAAATTGTTTAAGAGTAAAATAAATTAAACTCGGACACTAACTTTGAATACAGATGAGTTTATTTTTGAGTGAACCATCTTTCTCTAAACGTTATATGATAAATAGTTTCTATGGGTCGTTAGCTCGCGCGCCGCTTTACTTGTAATTTTACTGTTCGATGTTGTCAGTAATATTAATATTACTTGTGACCTATTATCGGGCGGGTCAGATCTTTCTATGCGGGCCGTAAAACCGATTTGTTTCATGAGGATCAAGTTAGTGTACGGTGGCGACAAAGCTAACTACTCCAAGTATGAAACACGAGCGCAACCGTTACGACTCCATCCGCGGGACGACCATCGCGGAGTCAAGTTTCAAAATATTGTGAAGCAGGCCACTGACTTAAGTTTCTTAATGAATTATTATAACGAAACACAAATATTAAAATTAATGAATGCACGTTATTAAAATATTACAATAAAAGTCTAAAAATAAACATATATACCAAGCTGGTGCTTGACGAAGTAAATTATATTTATTCATATACACGTTATGGCTCATGTAACAGGCGGTTCTTCGATGACCTCATTACTAAAAAACAGCTAATATTCTATGGTAGATTATTTAATTTAAATGCAGCGCACCCAAGTGAGACACGACTTGTAAAGGTCATGTATATAGTACTGCCTATATCCTTGCTTACTCGCAGCATATGGAAGACTGAGAGGCAGATGGGAGATGTTGCGACGTCGAATTCCTATCAAATGAGATAAACGGCATATGGCATAAATTCAACAGCTCTCACTTTAAGCTTTACTTGTCACTAAAACTCGGTAGAGGATTGTTTCGCGTCACTTTCGCTCAATTGATTATATGTCACAATGTCTGACAATAGTGAACTCTATGTGAAATTAAACAGGAAGTTTCAATTTAACGCCAATTCATATGGAATGATACTGGCAGAAAAGGAACCGGATGCATATCGACGGTTGTAAAAAGTTTTGAATTTCAACTATGGTCTCTCATTCCTACCTGCTAGTTTCCAAATGTCACGTTTTTCTCCAGATGGCCCAGCTTGTGCAAGCGGCTTGGGAGTTTGTTTGCCTTAACATTACGAGATGGTACAACATTTGAAGTGGGCCGCTAAATAAAACGCAAATAGCTCTCCAAGTCTCGAGTATATACGGAAACAGTGTAAGTCGAAGCCAATCTACGCAAGTGAAAACACCATAACTAAGATCCAATTAAGATGTCTGATATCCTTGAAATTGCGATTTGAGAGAGACTCGTAAATAAATAACAGATAATTACAATATCGGATCACGATCCTTGCCGGCCTCTGCTCTCTGGTCGTGGTTCTATGAGAACGAAGCACAATGGCAACTAACAGCTAAGTACATCTAATACGACTCGAATAGCTCAAACATAAGCCCGACTTCATAATTAATTAAAAATGAAGCATTGAACGCTGTAATCGTCCCACGCGGAACTCGTTGAACTATCAAGTATTCTTATCGTCATTGCTTCTGTCAAATTTGAATATCAAATCTCGTAATTTCTTTTTTACTATTATTTACTAGGCGAGATGCCACGATCTGGCCTTCGCGTGGATTATTGGAATTTGTTAGTATCGTCGGTTTTTGATTTATGGATGTAGGGTTGCTACTTAATGTTTCTTTAATGATATATTGATTTTTACTCCGGCTACAAAATGAATACGACGTTTTTATTGAGCGTTCATTCGATAGCGTGAGCTCGATCAACGTAAATGTTGGATTTAATGCTTAGAATGAGAAATGATTATTATTGGCAGTCTATCAATCAATGTGCCTTGTTTAATAGAAAAGATATTTAGCACTTACCGGCCACGTGAAGTCGAAGGGGAACACGATGGGATTGGTGAATCCTTCCACATTAAGATTTGGCACATCCAAAGAGTTTCCTCCGAGCACCGGAGTAGTGATGTCACCGAATGTACACGGTGATGTCGTATCGATGTTTGCTTGATAAATTTTGAGGCACACTCGGAATTTAGTCCTGCACGGCGCCAAACACGGCGCGTCACTACTTGAGGAACCATCACAGCACTGCCCACTACTTAACCTACCCAATGAGTTCGTAAAACTTTTTATCCTAAGTTCGAAAGAACCAGACGTCAGCACCTGAAATAAAAAAAATATATATTTAGATAGGCACTCAAAATTTATAAAAGTATATTAGTCAACAATTTATCTAAGTAAATAGAGCCATATAAGATTCAACACCCTATAACAGGCAATCCTATAAATAAATTATTTGCACAACTGTCCGAGAGATCGATCCCGTTGAGACATTAACGGTTATACTGGACAGCTATGTAGGTCGCTTAAAATTGGGGTTGGCAATGCACACGTGGGGTGACGTGATACCCCTAACCAGAATCGAATGTCGAATACGCGAGAAAAATTTAAAATTAATATTTACTCGTATCAAAATGTCATACAAGCCCCCAGCTTTGTTTTAAGCGATATTTTTTGTGTAAGATATCGTTCTGAAGAATCGATTTAGCGTTGACAGATACGTAGACGTTGAAAAAAGCTGAATGACTGGAATTGTTTTTTGTTATATGAATAATAATAGCGCACTGCCCTCTAGGGTAGCAACCCTTACATTAATGAAAGAATGCGCAGTTGGCCGCGATGCATGTGGGATTAAATAGCTTTAACTCAGTTATGCATCAGGGAATATGTGACAAGTTTATAAATATATACTAAATACTAATATTATAAATGCGAAAATTTGTAAGGATGTATGGGTGTATAGATGTATGGATGTTTGTTACACTTTTACTCAAAAACTACTAAATGGATTTTGATGAAACTTTACAATTATACAGCTACAACATAGGCTACTATTTATCCCGGAAAAATATAAATAATAGATATATTTGCTTTTGTTTTTCTAGAGGCGAACCCGAGCGAAGCGAGAGTGAGCGACTAGGTTATAAAAAATGCAACCACTGTGCCACTTTTTACGTATTTTTTTAAAGACGCGTATTTCCTTAAGTTTTGAAAGTAGACGTCCGTAAGTAATTATAAGGCATCGGAAGGAAGTGGTGAGGTTGTATAGCGATCATGTCCTGACGAATCATTATTGTATGTTATCAGCTGTCCCTATCGGTAAAAAGAGATATAAACAAAATTATTTTAAGAAATAGGTACATAGCACTTGGTCATCAAGCGTTAGTGCTTATTGTACTAATTGTTTTTGTATTTATAACGCAAAAACCATATCCATAATTTCCTGTGGAATCTCCACTTTCGCTCTTGATCATTTATTCTGTGGCGGCTATAGATATTTATGTAGCCATTACTAAAAGTACGTTCGTATGTCTGTAATTACAATTAATAGTATGGTTTATGTTCCACTTTAGCGCAATATTTAACTTTTTTATGTAAAATACATTAATATCTATCAAGAATAAGAAGTTATGCGATAACCAATAATCAAACTTAAGTAATCATAAGCATACCCATTTTACTTGAACAATTGAAAGTTCCCACGCACTGTGAACTAAAGTTCAAAAAATCTCTGAATTTGTCAAAAGTTTACAAAAGAAAGAAAATAAGTAACAATGAACCATTTAAATGATGTCTTATCTAGATACGGTAGATCTTTATATTTAAAATTTTAACCACAAATTAAACAAAGAGCGATGTAAAAAATACACCAGATTTCTACCAACTTCCTGTCAAGTTGATAGGGGTTGTTTCTGTACGCGCAAAACTCATCCCTTCTCTTTTCATTTAGAACTAAAGAACAGGACAACATATTCACATCCACGTGGTAAACGCCAGGTAGGAGCGGAACATAAAAAATAAACCAAAAAACGTACGGCCACTCTAAACATCCCCTTTTTTTATCGAACTTGATGAATTGTTTATCAAGTAGCATAGATTGTGGGTTGCCAGATTTATTAAATTTAATTATATATAGATAGGTTCACCGATTCTATAGATGTTAGTAATGGAGAAAGAAATTTGATTAAAAATTTAAAAGAAGTTGTATTGTAAGTGCGATCCGCTTGACCTGAGGCGGACCACAGCTAACAATTAAATAATACTTAGGGACTACCGAATAAGTTATTTAATAATATCTTCAGGCGTTTTAGCACGATGAAGGTCTGACTGATTGTTTGGATATGGCTAAAAAGGCGCTAAAGTTATTCTTATCTGTTATTTCAATACAAAAATACACACTCAGATGCTTGCTAAGATGCTACATTTTAAAAACAAATTTTTTATCTTTTACTTAATTCAAATTGAGTAATAAATTAAAGTATATTTGGAGCTAATATATTTTACTTACGGCTAACATTAAAGTATTCGACGTTAGAATCGTGAACGTCAATATTGTTTTTTTTTTTTTTACACTTTGAATGGAAAGTAACACTGGCATGTAACATTAATTGCAGCGGCGCGTGTCTTAACGAAATTCAAATTGATTTTTGAACTTATCGTTCATCTCGCAACATCTTTGTTAATATATATTAATTAATAAAAAAAAAACTAATTTTCTTATTATACAACTTTAGATTTTAAAATACAAATGATTTGTAACATTCAGTTAAGGAGCCTAATATGAGCAGCATTGTATGTATATGCCAGAGTAAACACTTGTTCCAGTCGGCAGGTTGAGCGCTATCTAAAAATAGCTCAAATAATGAAACACAGGGGAATGTTTTTCATCTCGATCGTTATACACACGCAAAATGTGTTAAAATAAACACCCAAACAGTATTTTAATAGCGCGACGATGTGGCCAGTGCATCAGATTCACAAATGGAAATTTATATTTGGCGTCCTCTTGGTATGATTTTTTTTCATTAACACATCTATTTGTAAACGTTGCAAAATTTACTTATCAATCGTCCTGACGTGGACCTTTCTAAAGAACATTAGCTGTAACAATAACTATAGCTAATTATAGACTTAAAGAAAGCTACATTATATGTGAGGGTAAAAATTATAAATACGGCAATAGAAGCGTTTCAAAGAATACTTCGACGAATAAAATAAAAGGACACACGTCTTAAAGGGAACAAATACAAAACGTTTAGAAATTCGACGTTCGCGCGACAAAAGTTGCTATGTCTTTGTTCGATGGTTAATTCCTAGCAGCTGCATCGGTATAAAAGAAACATGCAATCTAATGGAACTCTGAATTAGCGGAGAATCATACGTAATAGGTCCGTGCAGGGTAGATTGCCTAGAACGTATATATGGAAAGCGCATAATATGGTATTTTGTGGTTATTTAAGTTGCACAAGGGAATTGAGATTTCGTGCGTCGGTGTACGCTATGATCGGATGAGAGGGAATTCGTGTTATATCGTAAACCAGATCCGACTTAGATTGTTATTGGGTTTGTACGTGTGAACTTTTCTACCGCGTAACCACCTGAACGAAACTTATTAAAATAGTTAGTCTATACATATAATAAAATTCTAACTAAGCCGAATCTGTACATTAAATATTTTTGGAAAATCTTATTGAAATAGACATTGTTATCGATACAGAGGCCGAATCTATAGTTATTAGAATTTTTGTCTGTCTGTCTGTTACCGCATCACGAGAAAACCACTGGAGGGATTTTGATGAAATTTGGTATGATAATAGCTGGTTATCCGGGTCAACATATAGGACACTTTTTACCGCGGGAAAATATCTCATTTCTGAGAAAAATACAAAAACTGCAATGTAAGAGTATATTAATATGTAAAACCTAAGAATTTGGTTTTTGGACATCTGAACGCGAGCGGAGCCGCGGGCAATGCTAGTGTTAACTATAAAAGAATTTTAATGATTTAAAAAAAAGCTTTATCTAAATAACGAGTAGCAATAAAGTAATTCAAATAAATATTGGTTGTGTATACTAAAGTGAATATACGTTTTGAATGAAGTTATTTGAGATTAGTTTAATGCACTCTCAGTCTGATTGCGAAACGTATTAATAACATTGTGAATGCTATATATAACAAATACTGACTAAATTTACAGTTTACTTTTAAAAAATGTAAGGTGAATCGCGTGTATTTTTACATTACGATTTGACTTAATAGCTTTAATAAGCTTGTTTCTGAAGATTATTTTAAAATTACAATTTAAAAGTGCCTATTAATCACTATGTTATAAATAATATGGTATAATAATGTATTATTAATTTAAGTTACACCACCGTAATTGTTTTTTTAGAGTTAAGTTTTACGTATTCATAACTGTCATCTACTGGCCTTTACTTCCATCCCACGTCTTACGCGAGTCATCTTTTAGCGCCTGAAGCGTTGCGCAGAAGGTGCCATCTGACACATTTACCCAATTCAGAATTGAATAATTTTCACAGACTGTTAAACAATAGATGGTTTGCGAAACGTAGTGTTCACACATTTTAAATAAATGTATTGACAAAAAATATTTTGAAATATCCGAGGCATTAATAAATAATGGCAAGGATGTGCATAAATCTAATTCGTCGTTAGTACCAATTGTTTAATTCGAAGTACGAGCTGAGTTATGCGTGTGTTGATAAATAATACATAATATTGACTTCCCCAAGCATCCAGTTCGGCGACATTGCGTAATCTGATCAATGATTCGACGCCATATTGTTTTTTTGCGTTCATCGAGATCGAGAATTAATTAAACGTCCGGTCGGGATTGAAGGGAAAAATAAATTAAATAAATTATTTTAAATAAGCCCGTAATGAAAGAGATGGTGCTCGTCGACAATACAATGAAGCGTGACTGCCGCCTCGGAGGCGTAATGAATTCGTCATTTGTCAATGTTTGTCTAACAGATACGAAGATAAAGTACTTGGGCTCCTTGGGATTAAAATAGTTTTTTTATATATAAAGTATAAACATTTGGTTTTATAGACTTATATAAATACTAAAATTATTAGTTAACTAACGTTGTCCGCGGCTCCGCCAGCGTTCAGATGACCAAAAACCAAATTCTTAAGTTTTATATATTAGTAGGTATATGCTTACATTGCAGTTTTTGTATTTTTTCTCAGAAATGAGATATTTTCCCGCGGTAAGAAGTATCCTATGTGTTGACCCGGATAACCAACTATCACTATACCAAATTTCATCGAAATCCATCCAGTGGTTTTACTGTGATGCGGTAACAGACAGACAGACAGATAGACAGACAGACAAAAATTCTAAAAACTATAAATTCGACCGCTGTATCTATTAATGTTTATTTCAATAAGATTTTCCAAAAAATATTTAATGTACAGATTCGGCTTAGTTACAATTTTATTATACGTATACGGTATAGATAACGTAATACTGTCAGATTGAATAATGAACCCGTAACAATTTAAATGATGCAGTCTCACAATCGGCCATTATAAGCTCTCCTCATACAATAACACGAAAACTTAAATTTCACATAGTTAAGACGTTAAAAACCGACGATTATACGGATTTCGTACGAGTTTTCTTATAATTGAGTCGGTTCTCATAGAACAAAACCGCTTTGGACAATGGACGAAATTATAACAGGGTTAAATGCCTTCACATACTTATATGCTTATTGCGACTAACATGACATACGACGATTAATTATTATTGTATTGTTGTGAAAACGTTAAGGAAGAAATTGCTTGATTTCAGGTCTAACTCACCTATTAAGTTAATATTTGGTAAGTACTGGGAATTTGAGTGTAACAATATAAATACCCGACATTATGTTAGGCAACTATTATCATTTGGATGTGGGAATACTAAAAACCATCGTATTAAAATTTTGACTTTAAATATTGCAATTTTGCATATTACTGTCAAGATGACTTGACGTTTGGAGACATGCAGTCATGCACGAGCGCTTTCTTTTTGTATCTAGCCACAAATAACTGTACAATTTTATTATACCGATTTGGGCAATATAGACGCCAATTAAGTTAGTTACTGTACCAAAAGTTATAACACGCTCGTCCCCAAAATGGGCTCTAGTATTCCACTCGGTCAGTTTGAATTTGTGTGCACGAGTAAATTATGAAAAAAAGCAGATGTTAGAGTTCTTAAGAGTAGCCATTAATGTCGCACCTGCTTGCAATGTGGTCCGAGCGACCACATACACGCGTTAAGAATACAACATTAAGAAATATAACCGATTATATCACGAATCGTACGCAACCAATACCTATTACCTACTAGCGTTCCATACGAGCTGACATGCTATGTCCTAGATAACGGACAAGTAGTCGAACAATCTCGATATTAATACAGAAATTTCGCAAACCGATAAAAATACTGTAGCTGTCCATTTGTGGCCTATTGCACGATAATCTCATATTTTACAACACGAACTTAGCCGCTGTTAACATGGTTTTTTTAACTATTAAACTGTTGTATTGGCAGTTAGGTTATCCTCGATACAATAATTGGGGATGCGAACGAACTCAACCTTCGTTGAATTATTTATAATAAATGGAAATTGAGATTATTCGGTTGCGGTTTTAGACAGACGTGTTTCCGATGGTTCTTCCGATTGAGTGGAGCGATCACGCGATTCAACCCGACCGGATAAATATGCACGTGGTAAAAAAAGAAATATGCGATCGATTCCTCCGGATGTATCGAGATCATAAGAATCGAGTAGGGACAATTACATCAATGTACCACCGCACGTACGCAGGCAGGACAAACCTGTTGTCGAGTGCAGTTTTTTACATGAATAAAAACCTAACATTATTTATTATTTTATATTGTTTAACTAACTTGTATGGAGTTTGCTATAGCTATATTTTTTTTAATAATTCTAAACGAATTTATGATTTTTTCTATATATTTTTTTTTATTCAACTATTACAGAAACATTATACAGTCAAACTTTAAAGTTATTTTTTCTCTTCTACTATCTAGAAAAAACGTAACGAATTGAATTACAAACTAAAGTTTTTATTCGATGAAGAGTAATAGGTACCTTTGTGCTTTAATGAATGTCGATCGAGTCAGATAATTGTACAACTACATGACATAAAAAGTATAAAACATTTAAGGGCAGCGGAAAGTGCACGAAAATCACACGATAGCTCAAGATCAGTTCTCAGCGCACCGGTTACACAGACAAGTTTAGTAACGCGTAAGTATCTATAAGGTGTATGTGTGTTTGTGTTGGTAATAATAACGGTATATATGCGAACATATTAATAAATAAGCGATCGTACAGTGTATGCGCGCGCGCATGGGGTATAGATCCCTCGCAAATGTTATTGGACACTGCACTGGTACGGGAAGTCAATACTAAATTGATTTTAGGGGAACTACATGAATGGTTACATTTTAATATTTTGGTAGTTTTTACTAATGTAAGTTTATTGCTGTCATTAATTTTAACTTAGTTTATCGGCTAGTTAATACTTGCATCAAGAGTTACGATGTGTTAGTTTGTAATGAAAATAAATATACTGTCTGTCGATCTAGCGGTGCAATGCTAGAGTGAATGTTAGAGTTAATAATACTAATAGTTCTAAACACTTTAAAAACTATCCAAAATATAACATGTAAAACTATGCTTATATTCGAATAGATATATATAATAGAATAGAAATTTATAGGTATACTTCGTAAGTTATCCTTTAAAGCACACAAGACGATATAATAAAAATTAAGCCACTTAGAAATGGAAAGAGGTAATTGGTTTCTTACATAAAAATACATCCCTTAACGTGGCGTAAACAACCTTGACCGTTCTTAGGCCACCGACCTTCATAATGTGATAGATTATTATTATTTACTTTTATCGCTAACTATAATTTTAATCAAAGAAAAAAGCAAAATATTATATTACTAAATATCAGTTACAACGTCCTTTTCATCATTTTATATCGAATATATTAAGTAAAAGTAGACCAAGCACTAACCCTGTCCGAAATATCGCGTTTTGATTTTAACACTGACTTGTCTGAAGCTATTCCTGTCCGTGCATCGCAAATTAGTCCTTTTACGAATCGACTTCATCGCGAAGCCTCGGTATGCATCTAATTTTAAACGAAGAGGCTCGCGACCTGACTGACCCCGCCGACCGTATTAAAACCTGAACTTTCTTTATAACTATGTACAAACTATGTTTGCTTGTTAAACGTATACACACACAGCCAAGTCTGCGGACTGGCTTGGGCCGGTCACGATTCGTCCTAACCTACACCCTCGCCTATCCTGGACGATCTAGGGGCCTCGAGAGCCGGCACTCGTGGGAAAGTGACTGTCGTGACGATACGGCCCCCGTCTAATCTACCGAGCTACGTTCGATTCACAAGTGTCGATTACGATTCGAAACGTAAACAAACAGGGATTCGCGGTTTAGGTCTGTCCAGTACCTGGGGTAGAAACCCTAGGAGGGCGATGAGCACCGTAGAGGCGCGCATGCTGGCGCGTCCTACCGGCGCCTGAGCACACGGGATCCGAACCCCGTCAGCAGTCGACGGTGACGGTGAAGAAATCCATCACATGCACATATCGTTGTTCACTAAGTCACACAACACTAGTTGTCACCGGTCGCGCTCATCGGCTTTAGGAACCGGTCGTGTATGCACTACGTTCGAATCGCGCGCGTGCTGCCGGCGTATGGCATATAGCAGGCGTAGTTACGTGTGATCGCGGCGGTGCGTGACGGCGGACTGAGGCTGAGGGCGGGTGGAAGTGGCGGTGCGGGCCGCGCACACCTGGCGACGTTGTGCGGCCGCTAGATGGCGCTGTGCGGCACATCTGCCGTCGCTGACACCCCCCCGTCCCGCACCGCATTAGCTCGGTCCCACACACACTACAAAATAATAAATAATAAATATACGGAACAGCCGTCCTTCGCTAAACGTCTTGAACACGTGCTCGTAGTAAAGTTAAAAAAGTTATTCAAGAGATTTTCTATTCTCTATGCGATATGTCATTTTTTTTTTGTTTTTTTTTTTCATACAAATAGTCAATAGATGCATAATATACCATACGCTTCTTAAACTAAATAATTTGCTTATTTGTTTAAAAAACTTTGTAATTATGTACGAGGTACCGTTTAATACTTATTGAATAATATTTTACTTACATTGCAGTCGTAAGTTCTCAATTTAATATAGTATTTCCTAATTGGACATTAATATATATTTACTGTTTTAATGGTAATGAGCATATAATGAGCGCAAAATATCTATTTAGCTCTCATCAATAATGTTTATTACAATTTATTTGACAATTATAAATAAGTGCTAAATAGATATTTTGCGCTCATCGTATGTAATATCATAAAAATAATTAATATAACTTAATAATTAATGTGTACTTTGATTTGTTGTTGTTATTTTAGTCGAATTTAATTTATGAGAACAATAGGATTTTTTGATAATTTAAATTTAGTACGAATATGAACTCATTGTAGTAGTTCTGATAGAAGATTATTAGGAATTTATTTAGGAAAACCTAGATATAAAAAATCGATAATAAACCAATGAGAGTAAAGATGCACATATAATTTATACTATTACTTTTACTAATAATTTTTCATTATAAATATTTTGATTAATTTTGGATTGCGTGCTAGAGGTCCGTTCACGTATGCAAATTTACGAATCTTCACAACGCAGCTGCTCGTGCGATGCGTTGCGAAGCGATAAACATATTCATGAAGGGTGATTGCAGGTTTTTTAACATTTATAATATTAACCGGGGGCCAAATAAAATGTGGTAGCAGTGCCACGCAATACTTTGATTGATTCAAAGTAACACACGATAATAAAAAGGAAATAGGTTCATTTTATACCTAAATTTATCTAATTAAAATTCTTTCTTAGTTTTAAAATTACCTGCCTCCGTTTAGTGGTTAAATAATTGAAGGACTAAATATTTTTAACTTTCCTTTATGTAATTGGTATACATATTATGGTTACAAATAAGGTTTAATATATTTTTTCTTTTAAATTATAGCGCAAGTAGCATTAAATCTAACCGCTACAGTTTTATTGGTCGTTTAGACCACGCCTACACTTAGTAGGTAAAATGACGCGGCATACAATCATACAATCATAGTATTGACTTTTCTATTGTATACATTAAATGCCGCGTTTACGTGTTGCAATATAAACCTAATTACAGATTATATATGGTAATATAATAATATAGAATATCTAAGATTTTAGAAATTTCATAAAAAAAAATATTTGTTGTACGAAAACTACTGCAAAAAATCTTTATTAGAAATTCGATCATAGCTCAAGGCAGGTAGGCACGTATTTACAGCAGTCGTAAAACTCATTATTGCTTGAAATACCAAACCTCCGTGTTCATTAACGCTTGATTATAAGGAGCCATTATTCAAAGATAGTGCAAAAGACAAAATTATTTTTACTATGTAACGGTAATTCAAATACTCAAATACTTAAAGCAACAGGTAAAACGGTTCCAATACAATTTATTTGATGTAAAGTCTAATGAAAATAAAAAACTAGTTTAAGATATCCTTAGATGCGTTCAATGACCAGTTTTTATTTAATTTGCAATGACGTTTTCATAAAACATAATTTAGTTTTTAGTTGTAGGCAATTCATTTTAACAATGGCGGAATCGACGTTTTATATTTTTTACTTTTAAAAATGTAATTAGAATTAATTATTTTTAATAAATATGTATATTCATTTAGAAATAATTAAATATAATTATTTTAGGGGCTTACAAAATAGGCATAATTAGTATATATGATATATGAGTAATTTTTCTATGCTTATATTTGAAATATATTTTTTGTTGATAGTATTGTATGTAAAAATATAGTCAATGAATAGATAAAAGAAGCCGTCTTTATTCTGAGAAATATTAAAGTAAAATTGCTAATATCGATAAGGGTTCTTAATTACTATGTACTTAAAATATGAATAATCACTTACCTTTTCATGAGAGGTGAAGTAAAAAAAAAATTAGGTACACCTACTTATAAATTTGCATGTATTTAGTTTTTAATTAATTCTAAGAAATGTTACAAGATTTCGTTACTGTGTTACGAGTTTAAAATTAATCGTCTATAAAGTATTTATATTACAACGTAATATTTACTTTAATGCGGCGACTTCGTAATTGAATTGCATGATGTTATTTAAAAGCGAAAACTATTCATGTAAGTACCTGCTTATATTTTTAAATTATAAACGCTAAAAGTAAATATGTATAGGTACAGGTTTAATACTTAACTAGCGTAGCTAGATAACTTTGCTCGTGCTTCGTTGAATTTACGTTGTCATTGAAATACTGTTTATGCGTTATAGCCTATATCATTCGACAGGACCATTTTATAAATTGGCACAAGGATTTTGAAATCGGGTGACCAGTTTAGGAGATTTCCTTTGATATGCAAAATTAGTAATTATAAACTTTACGTCTGAAAGATAATTATCAGTGTAAATGAGCAAAGATTAGATATAGATAATGATGTAACTTGAACTACGTTTTTTTGTGTTATGTTGGATTGTTAGTATCGATGTTTAGCTTTGGTTATTTATAGATATAGGTATTAATGTTTTAACGAGATTGTAAGATCAGCTGTTTAACAAAACAGCTAACTGTTTATAAAATAGCTTTGTTAGGTAAAGTATCTTAAAAAGGTTAAGCTTTTTCTTGGACGTTAGTCTTTGGACGTTAGTCTTTGGACTAGGTTAGCTTTGGCTAGATAAGAAGCAATGCCTCTTAGCTTTCACGTTAGGTAATTTTTATCCTAGAAACTGTTCTAATAAAATAATCAACATAATATAATTTGTCTCGAACGACATTATTTGGAATTAAAATTTACAATTCAAGTATCTAAAACATACAATTTTTATTTGCAATAAAGGAAATACATTGAAACTACAAAAATACTTAATTATATACAAAACAAATGTACACTTAATTCGTATCTAAAATTACGGTTTGTTTGATGTTTCGACCGTGAAGATAAGCGTTGGCGAATTTTGTATGGGAAACAACAATTTAAAAATGTCTGAATAAAAAAAGTACTCTTGAATAAAACTAACTATTATATTATTATTATAAATAATTTATAATGGAATAATTCGGTATCTTAAAAGAGTTAAAGTAGGTATGCGAAAATCAAATTTCCATTTCAAAGATCATTGGCAAAATAGCCAATTTAATGATGATGATGTTATCCTGACCGATTCCGGCCACGGCGGCCAATCTCATTGAGACTAGCCAACTGCGCGGGAGATATTATAGTGCACAAGTGTACGCGCAGACCCAAGTGCACTCTCTATTCCTGTCACTCTCATACTCCGGTGGACGACCATTCGACACGACCAGTGAGAGTTAAAGCGCAGGACCGACAGCTTTACGTGCTCTCCGAGGCACGGGGGTGAAACACCGCCAACTTCCTAACTCCGGGCTGTTACTGAGGCTTACTATATAGAAAGACTCAATAACTAAACTTGGCCCGACCCCGGACTCGAACCCAGGGGTGTGCAGCCGTACATGCTAGCCACTACACCACCGAGGCAGTTAGCCAATAGCCAATATAATAAAATATAAATATAGCCAATTTAATAATATAGATAAGCGGATGAGTTTGAATTTTTCACAAATTCCTAAATTAATCGCGGACGTTAACGAGGTCAGGTTTTTCGTGCACAATACAGAGTGATGAAACAAAGAGCCCCACCCACCGCGCCTACTGCCCCTGACACAATAATAACCTTCTGTTATTCAATTCATTTGTTATAATTAGTTCCATTTAAAAAGTAAAAGTTCTATAGTTTCGTTGAATAGCGTTTAGGTCTTTTCTCGTGATATAGTATACAGAATTAAACAATTATGTATTTAAATAGCGGGATTATAATACGATAATTATAAATTAAAATTTTTAAAAATTGCTTCGCAAATTAATTGTCATTTAACAATTACATTGGCACGCGTGAAGCACTTAAACGAGTAATCATACGCCAAAATGACTTACATCATTTGGAAAAGAGCTGATACTCTTACACTGCTGGACCGATATGAACCAAACATAGCTATGAATCACCACAAGGAAACTGGCTTTCAGAAGAAAAAAAACCGCATCGAAATCGGTCCACCGGTTTGAGAGCTACGATGCCACAGACACACACAGGCAGACATCGATGTCAAACTTATAACACTCCTCTTTTTGCGTCGGGGATTAAAAAGTTTTTAAGTAAGCATTTTGTTTATTATTATTTTCATTTCTATGTGGTTTGCCAAGGTATATTTGCAATGTTTTGAGGAAGTTTAGTTCGGTTCGATTTCGGTTCAAGGCGTTTTTTACGACATCGATAATGGCACTCCTGCGGGGCTAGTAAAAATGTAAGAAAATAAACAAAGGGTTATGACACCAACCAATGGACTCATAGAGATATGTAGTTTTTTTTTCATGTCGTCTGTAAAATAAAGGTTCAAACGGGAAAATTTTATTTTGTCTAAAGAAAAGCTCTTCCTGAACATGCTTTTTGCAATAATTAATCGATTAACAGTAAATGGTGTATTTACCGCCTGAGGTTATACCTAAAGCTGAAAATAAAAATATTATATTAATATATCAATGACAATAAATACTTAATTCATACTTCATTCATTCTCTAAAGTAAATACTTTACTAAATAGTAAATACATCGGTAACAAATAGCAATAGATAGAATATAAAATTTCTTAGTTCATTTATAATATATGTAGGTCTATTTGTTTCACTGAAAATACTCAACTGATTATTAAAAAAAAACACTTTTTCCTCTTTACATTAGCTTTTTATACGTGGAGGA